AATACCTCTCGATGCACAGCCACGACCAGCGCCGCTCAGTAGCAACTGGAAACAGGACATTGATTTTAAACAGACTCACTTAGACTAGTGCGAGTGTTCAGCCAGACATTTCTTGACAGCCCCTCAAAGCCACTTGCAGCCCAAGGGCCATGGGTTGGCCATAGAGAGTGGCATAGAGGGGTGTAGGGGAGAGGTATAGAGGGGTGTGGGAGAGGGTAATAGAGGGGTACTTACTGCAATCTGGCTGTACAAAGTGACACACACACACACATGCTGTACATACCCACACACTGTTCGGGGGCTGATGGTAAGGTGGATGGGGGCCGTGGTGTTTATAGGCAAGGTATGATCGTCACAAGCTGAGGCGCCTGCAGCGATGTGGGCTGATGGACGCAGGGCACAGGGCCGGGCAGCGCCCCCCAGGGGCCAAAGGGTCAATGTCACCCCGAGGCCGTGGGCGAGAGGCTGGCGAAAGGGTTAATCCCACCAGCGCCTCTCGCTTGCCACTTGCAGCGAGTGGGCATCGTGCCCAGCACCCTGCGTGTCGGAGCAGGGCTGGGAAGCAGGAGAGGTTCCCTGACAGATTTGTTTAGAGTTAATTAATTTACCTGATTGAGGCAGCATCTGCTGGGAACCCGGCACTCGCTCACTAGCGAGAGAGAGGGAGACATTCCCCAGATCTCTGTCGGAATTTGTGACGGATTTAAAAAGGACCCACGTAGCTCTCTTCCCCTCCCACCTCGTCCACCACCCATAAAGCCCCTCCACCCCTTTCCCCCACCACTCCACCCCCAAAAAGTCCAGCTCTAGGAACTCCCCACCAATACTCCCAACAACTGTGTTGTCCTTGGGGAGTCCCGTAACATGGTGGGTAGCGCTCTTGCCCTTGCAAGCGAGAGGACCCCATGGTACAAGGCTGATAACACCTCCAATTCACACAGGAGGTTGGGACGCAGTGTCCTTTTGCTGTCACTAGGTGTCTCCACTAGAGCATTGGTACTTAACCTGGTGAGTGAGCAGATGCTCCCTTTACAGCTTCTTAAATAATAATGATAATCCTTCCATGTTATGTAGCGCCTTATCACATCTTCGAGACGTCTCAAAGCGCTTCACAGGATACACTGTGAAGTGAATTAACCGTACGTTTTGTGGGTGAAACGCGCCAGCCAATGGCACCCGGCAGCGTCCCATGAACAGCGGTGGATTGAGCGACCAAATTATTATTATTTTTAATTTTACCTATGGAGTGATCCTCGCCCTAACAAACGGATAAACGTGGACTCACGCGGGGACAATGGTAAAACTCTCTGCATCCTGGCAAATGTTGTGAAGCCTCAATTCAATGTAATAATCATATCATAGTAATCCTCGCATATATAGCCTTATAGCGCCTTGTCACGTCGTCGAGACATCTCAAAGCCCCTCACGGGGTACATTGTACAGTGGGTTCTGCGTATATTTTGTGGGTGTAGGTGCAAAGAGCCTCATCTCTTTCGAATAAATAAAAATAGATGGCAATACTTGTATTAATAATAGATTTTACCCGCGTGAAAAAAAAAACAGCTTCACAATTGGATGCAGGTTGCAAATTGTCAGCGCTGTTATCTTGGGGGCTTCTGTAAGCTGGAAGCACAGACAGGTCTCCTGGGAGGGTGGTGGTGGGGTTAGTGAGGGGGGAGAGAGAGAGAGAGAGAGAGAGAGGCTGTGAATGATTGACAGGTGAAGGGTTTTAATGGGCATTTGAGAGGCAGGCAAGGTTGAGGTTGTCATGACTACTTGCAGCCTGGAGCCCCCTCACCTGATAAGCGATGGGGAGGAGGAGGGGGGGAGAATTTGTCAGCGAGCAGGTAGACTAGTCAACGAACCCCCACACCCCCACCCCCACCCCTCCCTCCCCTCCCATCTCCCCTCCCCATCCCCCCACCTCCTAAAAAAAAATTTCACAGTAAATTTTCTGACTAACACAAAGTGACTCCGGAACTGACGCCGGTAGCAAACCATTTCCCAAGAGGCCATCGACTGCCTGAGACAAAGGGGAATAAATCATTGACTTTTTCTCTTTCTCTCTCTCTCTCTCTCTCTCTCTCTCTCTCGTTCTCTCCCCCTCCCTCTCCCTCTCTCTCTCTCTCTCTCTCGCTCTGCCCGATTTAAAGAGTCTGCTGTTCTCTCCACAGCCTTTGATATATATTCTTTTTGCAAATAAACCGGGTGGTTTATAGATTTCGTTGACAACTCCTCTTGCCTCTGTGAGTATCAGCCACGGGGGCACATTAAACCCAGAGCTGTTTCCACTCTGCGTTCAACACAAATGGGTGATTTTATTTCTCTCCCTCCACCATCGTCCTCCCCCTCCTCTATCCCCCTCAGGGGGAGGGGAGAGGGTGATGACAGGGTCAGGGGGAAGGAAAGCAACGGAAAGGTTTCTGTCTTTAGACTCAGCAAACACAGCGGTTTTCACTTGCACAGCATCCCAAAACCTTTTGTGCAGGAGAACGTCTCAAAGCGCTTTGCAGACACACAGCGGAGGAGTCCTGTAGTGTAGTGGTTAGAGCCCTCGCCTCGCAAACGAGCGGACCCGGGTTCGATTCCCGGGCAGGACGAAACCTTAGGCAAGTTTCCTCACTCCACCTCTGTTTGCCGAGCAGTAAGTGGGAAGCCGGTTGTTAGTCAATTGCCGGATCATTTTCTGGGGGTAATAATCCCTCGACGCAAAAATGCGGTCAATCAATCCGCAACTGTTTGCAGGACGCTGCGGTGTGTAATTGGTTGCCGTGTTTCGCCCACAGAATACACAGTCACTACACTTAACAATATGTTCTGTGAAGCAAGCACTTCGAGACACCTCAGCAACGTGATGAGGGAATCAAACCTGGGTCCTCAGGCTTGCGAGGGGAGCGCTCGAACCAGTACGCTTCAGGACTCTGCTTTTTCTCTCTCCCAATGCCCTGGCTGGAAATTCCCCCCCCCCCCCCCCCACCCCACCACCCAAATAAAATTGGTCAGTCACTTTGTGGCCATTCATGGGATGGGTTGCTGGCCATAAAGTTTGCTGCCGCACCTGTCTGCAAAACAACACAGTCGCTGCGGAAAGATTCAGTCGGAATTTTCAAGAAACGAGCTCGTGATTAAGAGGCTGCGTTCGAGAATTCTGCCCAATTTCTGCGCAATCTTAAATGTTAAAGCAGTTGGGCGGGTGGGGGAATAGAGTTAGAGACGGAGGTGGGGGCGAGGGGTTTTTTTTTTTGACGGTGGGGGGGTGGGCGGAGGGGAGGTGAAGAGGGGAAATTGTCAAGTGAATGATGCCAGGCTGTTTCTGGAGCATTGCACCGATGGGGCGGGTGAGCGGGGAGGCTGGGGGGGGTTGGGGGCTGGTGGTGGTGTGGGGGGGGGGTGGGGGGTAATATGTGAGGGATGTTTTCAATTGGCTGGTTTGTCAGGAACCTTGGTGCTAGCGAGAGAGCGAGAGAGAGAGAGAGAGCTTAGATGTTCAGTGCCATTAGTATGCATGACCAGCTCTGAGCAAAACATTCCCCGTTGGCTGGGGAGCCGCGAACGGCTGAGCGCTGAGTGGGAAGGATTGCTGAAGGCAGTGAAGGGTGATCACCCTGACTGTGGTGGTGGGGGGGGGGGGTGGGGGTAGGGGTGTGAGGGGTATGGGGGTGGGAGTGGGGGGGGTATTGAGGGGTTGGGGGAGCACAAATGGGTTAGAGAGCCTGTGTAGGAGTCAGAGAGACCGATTGCTTTGTGTCTCCTGCTTTGTACGCTGATTAACCCTTTCACCAACCCTTCTCCTTCTCAACGGCTCCTTTTCAGCGGCTTATATTGAGGAGCTCGGGGAGGGGGAGGGGGTGGGGATGGGGGGTGCAGGCAAGGGTCTTGAGTTCAGGATAAGGCCTCTTCCACTGGTCCAAACGTGAAGGACCGTAACAAAAAGACCTTATGCTGTTATTTGGAAGAAAGATGGGAACTTTCTACTGAGATTCTTTTAAGGCTGAGATTCCTGCCCCGTACAAACTGACCAGCCCTTGGGATGTCCTTCCGACAAATTACATACACATGTCATTTGTTGTTGATGCTGACCAGAGAGGGAGGGAGGGAATGGCAGACAAAGGCCTTCAATGGAGGAGGTGTCAGACAAAGAGGTTTGTTTGGACAGGGACAGGTCAGGAGGGAAGCAGTGAGATTGTACTACGAGCACCACTCTGTGCTATGAGCCACACATCAAAAGGACCCGGTCAGGGGATCTCCTCACTCAAGCCCTGCAGGCCCTAGTGGTAGGTTGGTCCTAGCTGGGCAAACTGTGCTTGAAACTTCCTTGACTTGGCAAGCTAAGCCCTTTTTCACTGGTTAATACTCCAGCTCACAAACCCCCCCCACACCCCCCCCCCCCCCCCCAACTCACAATCTGGGCATCACCCAAGCCTTGGCTCTTGCCAACCTGCACTGTGATGGGTTTCAACGTGCGTCGGACATCCGCCTGACCAAAAAAAATCTTGACAATGTGACACTCCCTAACCCCCCTCCCCCCACTCCCCCCTAACGTACCCCTCCCACCACCCCCCTTCCTCCTCCCCAAGCAATGCACTCGAGCGTCAGCCCAGACTGTGAGCTCAAATAGCCTCAATGTTGGGCTCGAACCCACAACCGTCTGATTCGGAAGGGAGAATGCTGCCGACTGAGCCCGTGTGATCTCGGTGGGACGCTTTCTCCCCCCACAAAAAGCTCTGGGACGTTACCCTGTGTGAGAGACGCTATAGAAATGCGAGCGGTTGATCTTGTTGTTGGATCCTTTCAAATTGAGTTGGATGGATATTTGTTAGGTCAGGGGATCGAGGGGCAAAGGGGGGTAATTGGGATTGAGGTACAGATCAGCCATGATCTAATAGAATGACGGAACAGGCTCGAGGGGCTGAATGGCCTCCTCCTGTTCCCATGTTCCCCAGCTCCGATTTTGCTCCGGCATCTGATCGCGTTTTTTCCTCTCGTCTTCTTTCCCACAGAGTGCGGCGGCAGCTCCCAGCCCGGTGCTCGGCAACATGGCGCCCAACGACGGCATGCCAGCCGGCCCCATGCCCCCCGGCTTCTTTCAGGTACTCGCTCAGGACGGAGCTCGTGTGCGCGTGTGTCGGGGTGAGGGGGGGGGGGGGGGGGGAGGGGAAGCTCGGCAAAGATAGGGGGGAGAGGGTTCGGTGAGGGGGAGATCTCGAGGACTCGTGACTTAACCTGTTCAGCGGTGACAATTGATGGGTTGTTGGGAAAGCCTGGCCTTTGACTCCTGCCCTGAGCTCATGCTGTGCTCTGCTTCCTGTCTACACACCAACACTCCCCCACCCCCACCCCCCATCCTTCTCCTCCCCCCCTCGGCTGGTTCTCTCCTTTGCTTTCTCCCTCTTTCTTATCTTTCCTCTTTCCCTTCTCTCTCCCCCTCGCTCTATCCATCCTCGTCTCTTCCCTTCACCCCCCCCCCCCCTCCTCTCTCTTTCTTTCTCTGCCTCTCTCCGCTTTCTGGAGTCTCTCGCAATCTCTCTCTCTCTCTCTCTCTCTCTCTCGCCGTCTCTTTCTTCCCTTCTCTATCTCTCTTTCTTTCTCCCTTTCTCTCGCTCCTGTGCCAGTGACACTGAACCCGAGTGGGGTTTAGATTCCAAGGGTCACACTGCCCCCTGCCGGCTACGTGTTGAGTTCCCATTTTCCAACGTGCTGACTTTATTGTTGTTTCTCTCTTGTAGGGCCCCCCTGGCTCCCAGCCCTCGCCCCACACGCAGCCTCCACACAACCCTAACAACCCCATCATGGGGCCTCACAGTCAGGTAAGAACTTCTCCCCCACCGCCCCCACCTTAACAGTAAGAGAAGAAGCTTAGCACCGACATGTGGATCAAGCAACAAACACGCTACTCCACATGCGGACAACATGTCTCGCTGCTCACTGACAACACACTACACTCACTATACACTGCGCTGATAACTAACACGCCATACTACGTGTTAACAACACGCCAATGGCGGCCGGAGCCCTGCCGGGTAAATCTTCGAGGCCTGGTTGGGCGGGAGGTGACCCTGGGATTCCCATCCCTAAACATGTCACAACGGCTTGACCAGCGTTAGCCCCAACATGTCCTTGTCACAGCAGGTTTGACTTTGGTCCATTCAAGCTACAAGGGTTAGATTGGGGGGGGGAGGGGGGGACAGGAGCTGAATTGGGTCAGTGTTTTAACTTTTGTCGCGGTTTCTGCTTTGCTCTCCGCAGCCTTTCATGTCCCCTCGTTACCCCGGAGGGCCCCGGGCGTCCTTACGAATGTCGAGCCAGGTAAGTGCGTGACCTCACCCCCAACCCCCCCCCCCACCCCCAACCTCCGCCACAACCCCACCGGGGTCTTTAACACAACGCCGAGCACACCACCCACCCACCACCCCCTGGCTTTGAGGATGGAGCCAACAGACACTGATGCATCAAGCCCAGAATCTCTGTACTCTCTCCCCCTCTCCACCTCTACCTTCACCCCACACACGCACGCATAGGCACGCACACGCACACGCGCACACACGCGCACACACACGCGCACACACGTGCACACACGCGCACACACACACGTGCACACACGCGCACCTAACAATAGGCTCTTAAGATCAGGACATCATGGAAGTTCCCTACAGTTCACCACTGCCCTCCGGTGGCAATGACTCAGCACTGCAGCGCCCACCGCACTTTCCTGATAGAAATATTTATTTAAAAGTCCTTTGTGCTGTCGTTCCTTTCTTGTGTTGCTCAGTTGGGGGAGGAGGGGTGTGGGGGGTGGTGGGGTGGGGGGGTGTGGGTGGTTGTGCTCTGTGATGGTCGGGGGCGGATGGTGCCCAGGGGGCCAGGATGGTGCAGGGCACAACCGTATCAAAGCCACCGATTCCACTAAATGGGGCATCGCCCCCAGAATTGCTGTGTTGTGTAACGGACGTTTAATCCCAGGCTCCTCTCTCCTGCCGCAGCCTCCTGTAGGAGTTCCAGGATCTCAGGCTTTGTTACCGAATGCCATGGACCCTACGAGACAGCAGGGTAAGCGTCAGCCCAGGAGGCCACCAGCTCTTTACTCTCATCCCAATTCCCCTGCTCTTCCTTCCCCCCCCTCCCCCCCCCACCCCACTCTGATCCCATTCCCCTGCCTCATTAAAGTGGTTTTTAATGCCTTTCTCTTTGTCGCAGGACATCCAAACATGGGAGGTCCCATGCAGAGAGTGACGCCCCCGAGGGGCATGGGCAGCATGCCCCCACAGGTAACCACTGCGTTCATGCTTAGACACCTCCCGTAGGTTCCCCCCAACACCTCCCCTCCCGCAGCTCAAGCCATGAGACCTCACAATAATAGAGCCTTTGCCTGGTTTGGAATCTGCAAACCGCTCCCTGCCACGACCCCTCTCCACAGGCAGCGTCAATGGGGATGTATAAAAGTGGAGATAGCCACTTGGGGAGCAATGGTATTTAGGGGTACAGAGAAAATGCAGGGAAGGTGGAGTCCTGGAGCTCAGTGGTTAGAGCACTCGCCTTGCAAGCGAGAGACCTGGGTTCAATTCCAGGCAGTGCGAAAAATTGGGCAAGTTTCCTTACTCCACACAGAGTCTAATAATAATCCCTCCAAAACAAAACAATAATAAATTGGTCATTTTCAATCCACGACTGTTTGCGGGACATTGCTGTGCGCAATTGGCTGCCGCGTTCGCCCACAAATATACAGTCAATTCACTTTACAGTCTATTCCGTGAAGCGCTTTGAGACTTCGAGAAGACATGAAAAGTGCTATATCAAATGCAAGGATTATTATTATTATTAATAAAAGATCTGTTGTGACCTAAAACCCCTCTCCTCCCTCTCCCTCTCCCTCTCCGTGGGTAAAACCACCACCCACTCAGGTCACATCCCAGGCGTGTAATGAGTCGCTTTAGTTGGGAGTTGGGGCTCGGATTGGGGTTAGCGCCCCTTGGGGTGGGGAGGGAGAAAAATCACAACAGCAAGGAGAATTGTGCCTCCCAACCAATAAGTGTCATTCACATCAAGTCTCGGGGGAGAGAGAGAGTGGGGGTCCGTCCGGACAGTGCCTATTAATCTCCAAACGAGAGAATTCCCAACATTCCTAGGTCTCCCTCCCGTCTCACTCCTTGCTTCCCTCTTGTGTTCCAGGGTTACGGAGGTGGGATGAGGCCACCGCCCAGCTCCCTCAGTGGACCGGGAATGCCAGGAATAAACATGTAAGGTTTCCCCGCTCGGAGGAGGGGCAGTTCTCTCGCGGTGTCTTGACTCCCTCGCGGTCCCGAGTAACAGTGGCTCCAGCCGGGCAGTGCCGGGGTGGGGGGGGGGATTGCTGCGTTACGTTACTCGGTATCTGACCCTGGATTGTATTTGTTTACAGAGGCCCCGCGGGAGGGAGACCGTGGCCAAACCCTCCAAACGCTAACTCGGTAAGCGAGAGAGAGAGAGAGAGAGAGAGAGAGAATGACTGAGGCCATGTGTGCGTCCGTGTGTCGATTTGCGAAGGAAAGGAAATAGTTGGCGGGTTCCCTGGTCACTCTCTGGCTGGTTACTTGCTTACGCTGCCCCGTGTGAAGGGCGCCATTTAAATGCAAGTCGTCGTTGGTTATTCTGTGGCTGGTTACCTGGTGATTAACAGTTGTTTCTCATCCCCTGTAGATTGCCTACTCCTCGTCCTCTCCGGGCAACTATGTGGTGAGCAGCTTTCTGACATTCCCGGTGAAACCCCAGCGCTCGCGATGAGATCTCGATGACCTGTAACTTATCTGTTGTTCAGTGTCCAATAATTCCACTTGTCCAAACCAAAGTGCAAGGTCCACATAAGACATGGTCAATGTCTGGCCCCCACCCCTCCCTAACTGTATAACTGTGGCAAATTGGCAGGTTGGGGGGGGGGGGGGGGGGGCGGGGAATGAAACTTACAAATGGATTCACCTGTAATTGACATTGAATGATCAAATTAGACACGGGTCGAAAACTCAAGAATATTCCTGTCTTCTCTTCCTTTCTCCACACAGGGCCCACCTGGGGGGGCTCCTCCAGGGACCCCCATCATGCCAAGTCCAGGAGGTACGGTTGGAAACTCTCTCTCTGTCTCTGGGTGGGGGGGTGGTGGGGTGGGGGGTGATGGTCGAGTTGTGTGTGTGTGTGAGACGATGCTTTGTATCATTTTGACCGTTGACGTCTCACCGCCTGTCCTCTCGGTTGTTTTTCCAGACTCCACTAACTCGAGTGAGAACATGTACACCATCATGAACCCGATCGGAGGGGGCGGGAACCGGCCCGGGGTAAGTGCCAGCCACGCGCAAGCGCGCGGTGGCAGGTGATCAACACGCGACGACACGCAACTAACTGCACGTGATGGCATCACACGCAGAAAATGCACAGCTGCAAACATTGTACAAGACAGGCCCCAGCCCTTCCCTCCTCCCCACAACCCCCCCCCCCCCCCGCCCCTCTCCCCCCAACACATCCTCAACCAGCACTAATTCAGCATCTTAACTCCCGCGCTTTTTCCCCCTCGTGTTTCAGTTCCCGATGGGCCCGGGAGGCGAAGGGCCGATGGGTGGAATGCCAGGAATGGAGCCGCACCACATGAACGGAACGTTAGGTAATCTTCACTCCTCCGGGTGGACATGGACGGGTTTCACCCACTGTCAAATCCACTTGCCACTGCACTTTAAAATATATCCCGTGACGCGCTTTGCGACCTCTGGACGACGTGATAAGGCGCTGTATCAAATGCGAGGATTATTATTATTATCATCATTATTATTGCAAAGTTTTGAGGGTTTTGATTAATTCTGCAGTTGAGGGACCCTCGGTTTATAACTGGTGCTGCAGCGTCATCCAGTGGCCATATATTTCTTACCACCCTTTCACAGTGCAGTTGTGAGTTTCTCCACGTTAGGGGCTGGTACATCACGGAGAGGCTGGAGGAAGGGAGGGGTGCATTAAAAAGACTTGCCAAGTTGTGAGACCCTTTCACGATGGCCATTAGTTGCGTTGCCAATTTTTCCGTGTACGTTGACTGGTGACGAGAGAGAGAGAGTTCATCTGTTCCTCCCTTGCCCCGTTAAACGGATTAAAGTTTAAATGCCGTGCGTGTGCTGTGTGTAACAACCGGGTATTTGCGTGTGATAACCGTGTGCTGTGTCTTAACCGTGTTTGTGTGTTACAGGCTCTGGGGACATGGACGGGTTGCCAAAGGTAAGGGGGCGCACTGACACACTGCACTTCCCTGGGTGGGGGCGGACTGTACCTGAGACGAGCAATGTTTTAGGGCTGGGGTTGAGGAGGACATGTGATGCAATGAATCCATAGGACAACCTTACTCTCTGCCCCCTGAGTATCGGTCAGGACATGCGTTGGGCTGGGAGACCTGGGGTTGGAGCAGTGATTGGAGCTTCCCTGTTATTGTGTATTGTGGTCACTGAGGAATGTCGCCTCTCCCCCCCCTCTTTTTCCCGCAGAATTCCCCAAACAACATGACGGGGATCAACAATCCTCCAGGAACACCCCGGGACGACGGAGAGATGGGGGGGAATTTCTTAAATCCGTTTCAAAGCGAAAGCGTGAGTATCGAGCAACTGGGGTCAAGAACCTTCATGAAATGATCTCCCCCCCTCCCCCCCACCCCTCACCCAGTTTCCAAGCCGAGGCGTTCGGCTCATTTGGGAGAAGGTTTGTGGGTTCAAGCCCCGCGTCAGGATTTTGAACTCCCAAGTCTAGATTGAAGTTCAGCATTGTCAGGATGAGATGTTAGACCACCGTCCCATCTGTGCCCTACTCAGGTGGACGTTTAATTTCTCTCTCAGCGTCCTGGACGACAATCCCACAGTAAAATCGGTCGTTCAACTCATGGCTGTTTGTGGGCTATTACTGTGCGCAAATTGGCAGTCGCTTTTGCCTACCAAAATACACGGTCACTACACTTAGGGTTAGGATTACTGCGTGCGCACTTGCCACCTGCATTAAATATACTCGTGCGCAGTTGTAGACGACTGATTAAATCGGATTTTCTACGACTTCTACAGTTTGCCTGCAACTCGGACCTCGTGTAAGTCATATTAAATGTTGTACGACTTATGTGAGTTTTAATGTGCATCCTCTGAAGGTCTTGAGACGTTTATATGTGTTGTGTGTTTTTCTGTCTCTCAGCAGTATTCCCCAAGTATGACAATGAGTGTGTGATCACACCCCCCCTCTCCCTCCCCCACCCCACACCCTCTTCCCTCACTGAACAAGCCCTGTTCGGTCGCCATAGAGATCAGCAAGAGCATTCATGAGGAGGCCATACCTTCAGGCGTTGAATTTAATGAACTCTACGTGAAGCCTGAGGCTTAGGGGAAGAAATGAGGAAAACAAACCACCAACACAAAATGGAGACGTCACCTTTACACATCGGGGAAGATGGGAGAGGCGGAGGGAGAGGGTGGGGGAGACTTTGATGCAATGGGGATGTGGGGGTGAGGGGGGGGGGAGGTCCCAGAAATATTCAAAGACATTTTAATGTTTCAAAGTCTGCTTTTATTTGTATAAAAATGTTATTCCCATTGAAGATAAGGAGGCAGAAAAAGCCCTTGTTCTATCCTCTACCCATCTTCATGTTGAGTACGTGTCCTGGTAATAGGGAGACTGGGTAACTGTGTTTTCGATGGGGGAGGTGGGGTGGGGAGGAGAGAGGGGGGAATTATATACAGCTGCTATCCCACTTGCTTGGGGAAGGGGAGCTTATTGGAAGCCCAGGGAATCCCATTGGCTCGCCACTGTTTTCAAGAGATCCACCACTTTGTTTCACACCCACTCCCTTGTTCTGGATCCCTCTCATCCATAAAAGAGATGAACTGCAGTGAAAGAAGAGGAGAAAGAGAGGAGCCGCCATTTTGAGCTCTCTCCTCCACCGAGGGCTTCACTCCTCCACCGTGGGCTTCACTCCTCCACCGTGGGCTTCACTCCTCCACCGTGGGCTTCACTCCTCCACCGTGGGCCTCTCTCCACCGTGGGCCCGTCTCCTCCACTTCCCACAAGAGCACAAGAGCTTACGATGAAGCAGCCTCTCGCCAGGTGAGGAATGACGGGGCGGAGAATTCCAGGGAAGGAAACAGGAATGACGGGATTGATGAGGAGCCACCACGGAGAGGTTAGCCCCCACCCCCTCCTCCCCGCCCCACTGCGGTCCAGAGAAACTCGCTGCCCGAGACTCAACACTCACAACGTCCCAACCTGCACGGAAGCCATTTTGATGGGTGAAACCCTTCACCCTTTGTTTTCTCCCCTTCTCACCCCTCCCCCTCCTCCTCCCCCTCCCTCCCTCCTCCAGGGACATCCCCTCTTCAACGCTCGTCTTCAGAAATTTCTCCGCTCACACAGCCTCCTCTTCAATGACTCTTCTGATTGGACAATTGCCGGGTGTCTCACTCACTCGCTAAACAGCCGATCGCTTGAGGAACCCCACACACTCTCCATTACCTCTAAGCTCAACGGTCGGCCATAGAATTCCCTGTAAATTTGATCCGGTACCTTGTGTTTTTTTTTATTTCGATGTTTGGGAATGCTCTTTCCAACCAGTAAATATAGATTATTGTTACTGTCATCAACACTCTGCTGAGGGTCTCTCTCTCTCTCTCTCTCTCTCTCTCTGACTTGGCCTTCTGTTACAGGGGCAATGTCTTGGGGGTGAAGGGGGAAAAATGTTTGGCAAACTTTTTTTGTGGGGGGTGGGGTTGGTGGGGGGGGGATTTGGTTTGGTTTCATTGCTCATTGGCAAGGTAGGGCTGTGATCCAAATTGGTTGTACAGTTTAGATGGGGGTGGAGGGCGATTTGAGGTAGGAAATGGGGTGTCATTGGGTCCCGCGTATTTTTTGCACCCCTTCCCCCCTCTCCACACACACACACACACATTTTCCACCAGAAGCTCTGATGTTTGCATAATATCTCAACATTTCTAGGTAAGCCAAGTTATTTCCCTCAATCAATCGCACAGGGCAAGTGAGGAGAACCTGCCACTAGATGGAGGCAGATAATAATAATAATAATAATACTTGCATTTGATATAGAGCTTTATACGTCTTTGAGACGTCTCAAAGCGCCTTCACAGAATATACTGTAAAGTGAATTGACTGTATATTTGTGGGCGAAACGTGCCAGCCAATTGCACACAGCAGTGAGTATCCTCACAAACAAGCGTGGATTGAAGTGACCGATTTATTATTCTTTCTTCTCGAGGGATTATTGTCAGGCGTGCGGAGTAAGGAAACTCGCCCAAGGTTTCGCCCCTGCCGGGAATCGAACCCAGGTCTCTCGCTTGCGAGGCGAGTGCTCTAACCCTCGAGCTACAGATCACCACCACCAGTACAGGTCAGGTCAATGAGCCACGAGCAATGGGTGAGGTAGTGCTAACAGGCAAAACATATTCCTAGTTGGTTGTTGGAGCCCGGGATAATTTACAGACCACAGTGCTGCAACATTTCCTCTGAGGGGAGGGGTGGGGGGAGATTTGCAAATGTCCTCCTTTTGTGCAGGCACTTGATGTAAGGCACTCACTCCATGTCTGTTTATGGGACATTTCTGTGCACAATTCGGTTGCCCCATTCGCCCACAAAATGCGGGAGAGGTTTAAGGGGAATGTGTGTGGTGGGGGGTGGGGGGGGGAGGGAGGGAGGGAGGGGTGCTAAGGTGAGGGGGGAATTAAAAAAAAGTTTGCTGCTTTATAAACAAGAAGATCCTCGTCAAATCTCTTGCATTTTTTTAAAATAAAAAAATGTTTTTTTTATTTCTTTGTTAAGACCTTGTACAGTTCCACTGTCTCTCTCTCTCTCTTTCTCTCTCAGCTTTCCCTCCCTCTCTCCCTCCCTCCATCCTTTTCTCGCTCCCTATCTCCCTCTCTACCTCCCCCTCTATCTTTCTCCCTCCATCCCTCCCTTTGAAGCTTTCTCCGATTGCTGTCTCGTACATTGCGTGCGATGTGTAACTCACACCAGGTTCCCTCCTCTGTCTTGTTGTCGCTTACAGATTTGACAGTATTGAACACAGAGTGCACTCGGCCAGAGGCATTTTCTAGTTCCTAGACCCATAGGTCCCGTCCTGGTTTAGTTGTTCTGTGTAGTATATATATATTATGTCATTTGTATGTCCTTTATATTGTAAAAGATTCTTTAGATCAACAGTTGCATATTAAACTGCATCAATAAACCTCATTGATTTTTTTTCTTATTTTTTGGCTTTGTCTCGAGTGTTTTTTTTCCAATAAATCATTCATCGAGATAAAGGTTTGCAACAGAAGGAAATTCTAATCATAATGTAATAATAACAATAATAATCCTTGCATTTGATATAGCGCTTTTTCCACGTCTTCGAGACGTCTCAAAGCGCTTCACAGAATATGCTGTAAAGTGAATTGACTGTATATTTGTGGGCGAAGCGCGGCAGCCAATTGCACTCAGCAGCGTCCCACAAACAAACATTAATCTGTTTATTGTTTTACAGCCTCTTTGGAAACGATGTGTATAGATACAGCACTTAGTGGAGCTCTGTACGCAGACGGCACGCACTGAAATGCTGAAACAATTAATTCCCGTCTCCTCTGCTGTGTGACTCCTCAGTTTTGTGTGTCTCAGTGTCAACTTCTGTGTCGAAGAGAATAATAATCGTTGCTTTTGATATAGGGCCATGAGACATCTCAAAGCTCTTCACAGAATACATTCTAAAATGAACTGACTGGATTTTGTGGGCAAACAAGGCAGCCAATTGCGCACAGCGGTGTTCCACAAACAGTTATAGATTGAGTGACTACATTTAATTTTCATTCACATCTGGTGTTGTACAACTTGTGACCCTACTATGTGTGCAGTCGACACTAAAAAGGGAATGACTCACTCCATCACTGCCACTGTTTTGGCTTGTGCGTATGCGTGTGTGTGTGTGTGTGCGTATATATGTATGTCTCAGTGTTTGCACAAGGGTATGTCTTGGAACATCTTGTCTGCGTCACGGGGATCGATAGGGCTGCTTGAAGGGAATTTGATTTGCATTGACGTAAGTTACCGATGGGAAGAACAGAGAGGGGTGGATACGAGGGGGATACTGACGGAGTGTGAGGGAGACACAGGACGAGTGTAGGGGAGAGACACGGGAGACTGATGGGAGTGTGGGCGGGGGCAGGCTCAGGAAAGGGCAGGGGCTAATTCACTCCCCACTCACTTAATGGAACATGTGCACTTCCAATATTGACAAAACAGAATTTCCTGTTTCACAAATACAGGTTGGCTTTGGCAGTTCCTGAAGCTGGGTTTGACTGTAGACAGCAGGAGACTGTAAAACCTCAGAGGAAAAGCAGGCTCACTGTATTAGAAAGTAACTCCAGTTCCGGCAAGGTCACATTGTGCTTCCCTTCTCTACATTTCCTGGCTCTCATCTGCTGCTGAAGATTATTGGGATGTTCCGATTGATGTTCTAATGGAGGCTCCAATTTTCTGAAGAGATTTGACTCCCTCCCTCCCTCCCTCCCCATTAATGTCTCCTCCAATTCTGCCAGCTGCTTGTAAACAACAATAACCTGCATTTATAATGACCCTTCGCATGGGGTAGCGTCTCGGAGCGCTTGAACAAAATCCAGGGACGCTTATATGGAAAAGTTGAACTTACCATTTCCTGATGCTGACAGTAACTGGAGAAGCTGTTTGGAATAATGGCTGCGTTTCTCTAACGAGTGCATCTGTGTTAGAAGTTTATCGTTCTTGCTTAGTCTGTGGCTCCGTTTTGGGTTGGGGGCTGCTCGGGGGAACTAGATGTCGTCCTCCTCAAGGCTCAGTTCTTTCCTCTCCCAGCTCCCCTTAAAAAGTCACTGTACTGGGTGTCCACAAAGTCGTTAGCCCCTGTTATTTTTCTACAGTGCACTGACCAACAATTGAAACGTTAGAAGATTGATAAATGAAGTACTTAATTGTATTGAGTACAAGTGTTTAACTGTATTCAGACGTCCAGAGGATCGGGCGGATTTTTGGCCAGGACACCGGAAGATAGAAACTCCTCTTTTGTATAGTTGTTGAAAGTCCACCTGAACAGGCAGAAGGAACCTCGGTTTAAAGTCTCATCCAAAGGACAAGTCTAGGATTCTGGGCTCTACCACTCCTCCGAGTCACTCATTCACTTGCATTGGGAAATAGGAGGTGGTAGACCTAATTTCCTCAATGCCATTTAGTTCCCCCAACAGTCACTGAATGAAAGCTGTAGCAGGGAACAAGCAGTTGACCCATCTGTTCTCAACAGCCTATCTCAGAGCCAAGACTCCGAGCACCCTCTTTGAGTTGAGAAGCTGGGGGAGGAAGAGATGTTATCCTCTCACCAAACACACAACAAAATCTTTGTTTATTTCTGAATCTTTCCGTTGATTGTTTCAATGTTTGTATTTAAACATTGATTGCTAATGAAATAATCAGAGGAACTGGTCTGGGGGAGTTATTGAGCCCAACAATGTAAGAACCTGACCTAGAACACAAGGTTGTATGGGCACAACCGCTTGATGTCTTGTGTCTCCAACGTCGCGCAGAATTGCTCACAGGGAATTTGGCAGCTTTAGGGACTCAGAATAGTAATCTTCACATTTGATATAGCGCCTTATCACTTCATCGAGACGTCGCAAAGGGCTTCACAGAATATTCTTTAAAGTGAATTGATTGTATATTTTGTAGCCAATGGTGCACAGCAGCAATCGAGTGATCAATCACTATTAGTTTTTTTGAAAGGATTATCATCCCTGGAAAAGTGTCCAATCGACCAACAACCGGGTTTCTACTTACAGCTAGGAATCCTGTCAGCAGGCATCATTGAGTTAAAGAGTATTTTTTGAGTGTGGAACATCCTTCTGGGTGTGGTGGGCGAGTTAGAATCCATATTAGGTTCAAGGAACTGGATCTAAAGAATAATCTGCAAATGTGGTGGTAGCGACATGAAAATAAGAGATTCAAATAGAAGAGTTTCTGGAATGTCTCCCATATGAATATCAAATAATGACGACACTGATGGAAAGCAATTCAGACATTTCGAGAAACAGGACTTTATTTTTTCATAAATTCCTGACACTAAGTTTACATTTTCATCGTCGCTCTAACCAATTTGTATCAATAGTGTTAACATTTTGACATTCTGCCTCAGAGATAATATTGAAATAGTTCTTACAAATAATTCTAAATGACACTGATATCTCTGGACGAATTATACAACCATACTCTACGAGTGCTTGCTCTGTAACTCAGAAAATAGACTTAAAAAACAGTAAATCTTAAATAAGGAAAATTGTTGAGATCCTCACAACCAAACAAGCTACACAAGACAACATAAACTTCCCATTATGGCTGAAGGCCAGTTAATGTGCAAGAGCACCACTAGCAACAATTCTAGTTAATAGCCATTGGTGTGGCCATTTAAAACAATGTTCTTGTGGGAAAGGTTGTTGAGTTTTGGTATTTTGTGCAACATAGCAGCCGGATGCTCAGCCGTCCTATTAGTCACAAAGCTCCTCTGCATTCTGTGTTCAAGGTGCATGTGGTTCTGAGGAGGAAGCCCCAGACATGCTCTGGAGAAGGGGGAGAAAGTCACCGTGTTAAGATTGTCAGTTACAAACCAGAATCAATTTCATTTTAAGACTCAAAAGAAAAGAACACAAATCAAAGCACAGAATCTCAGCAATGGAGTTTGTGAAGCTTGGGAAATTTTACAGGACTTTTAAAAAATGTTTTCCTCTCAAAAGTACTTCCTTAACCAAGAAAAAATACAATTGTGTCACCTGTTGCTTGTAGAGGGAAATATTGCCTCATGTTGAAGTTGCAGTGAGCAAGAGTATTTTCATAGTATTCCCCAACATCAAAGGTTTTAAAGTTACTGTCCCCTCCCCTGATCCTCTTCAGCACCTTAAAGTGGAGTTGATTTGTCAAGCACTCACCTCAAAATGTTTTCAATGCAGGTCCTTTGCCTGAATAGTGAATTAATGACTGGAGTTCCTGCTGGGACGAGGGGAGCCTTACAAAGGTAACTGAGGATTGAGAGGACACTATGGAAGGTTTGGAACTCTGGGTCGGACTCAGTTCGGAATGTTATTCTCTGACAGAGTTCAGTCAGGATCACCAGGTCCAGAATAAGAGGACTGGCCAGCAAGGAATCCTACACAGAGCAGACAGGAAGAGTTACATTTATATTTACATTTCACCCACAAAATAGTCAATTTAACTCTACAGTTGAAGTGAAGTGCTTTTGATACATCCTGAAGATGTGATAAGACCCTATACCAAATGCAAGGATTATTACATACATCAAGGGAAGGATCTCAAATGTTTATATTTGTAGCAAACACAAACACAAAATACTGCTGATGCTGGAATCTAAAACAAAAACAGAGAGCTGGGAAAACTCAGCAGGTCAGGCAGCATCTATAGAGAAAGGGAAGTGAGTCAATGTTTCAGGTCCACAACCCTTTGTCAGAACTGGGGCATGTTGGGAGGGAGAGGCTTTTAAGGACAAGTTGAGGGGAGGGGGCGGGGGGGAGGCAGGACAAGGACAACAAAGAAAACACAGGAGAGAATGTATTAGTTGATGGGTTAAACAGGTGATAGTGGCATAATACAAAAAGGAGGGCTTTGTACAACAAAAGGGGGGTGGGTTGAAACAAAACTGGGGAGAAGAGGTGTTAATGGTGCAGAACAAGCAACACACCAGAGAGAGGCAAAGAATGTCTAGGGTGATGATTGTAATGATAACAGAAGATAACTCTTCTGGTAACAGAAAGGCAGGAGGGGAGAAGGTGAGCTGTCATGGTCTGAAGTGGCTGAAATTGATATTGAGGCCAGAGGGTTGTAGGGTCCCTAGCAGATAGATAAGAGATGTTGTTCCTCAAGCTTTCGCTGTGGATCATTGGAACAGCGCAGGAGAACATGGATGGAGAGGTCAGACTGTGAATGGGAGTGTAAGTTGAAATGGCAGGAGACCGGAAGATCAGGGTTGACCTCGCTTACAGAACGGAGGTATTCTGCAAATCGCTCACCCAAAATATAGAGACAAAAATAAATCGTTAAGTTCTCATCACATTACATTCGGACTCAGAACCAGATTCATCACAATGTTTTGAGTTCTGCAGGCAACCTTAAATATTTCTGTGTCTCTTGTTCTGTATATTAGACACTGCAGTGAGCACAAAGGTGGCTTATGCTGACCCAACATTAGCACTGGTAATGAGTCAAATGAAAATCAGCATTACCTCACAGGTATTGTGCAGGACAATAGTGTTGATGCCACCCATCATGATCTCTGATGTGTACTCATCCAGTGCTCGCTTGCTGTCTCCAACATATGGAACATACTTAATTACAACCTGAAAAAAAACAAGACATGAGATGCACATCTCTGGAGGAGGGAAGAGACATTTACTGTTGATATTGACGTTAGCAAACATTTAGGATAACAGGCTGGGAAAATAAAAACAGAATTGTTACAAGCTTCTCCCATCACTAAAATGACTTGATGAGGTAGAGGAGAAGTATATATTCCCACAGTATATATGTACGTACGCAGTGATCCGGTTTCTCAGATGGTTTGTACAAGATGGGATTGGACTGGACCATGTCATCCACCACATTACTCTTTGAGATTCCTTTGATCTGAACTGCTGTGGGGCAGACAAATTCTTCCCATCATTGTTCCCCAAGTGATTGTAACTGACGATTGAGACGGTCTGGAAGGAAGAGCACAATAGGCAAGTTTGACATGCTGATTTACAATGTGGACCTGGACACGGGGCTGTGAGATAGCGACAAGCAAATGAATCCAGTTGTGTCTTAAGAAACTAGCAACTTTGCATGAATTATTTTTGCCAGTAACTTGAGAACTGTACATAAATGAGCAAAGCAGGTCATACTGACAGCCAATTATATGGGGCATTAAATCAGCTTGGAAACAGGCTACCCACCTGCCTCCAGGCCAAGCACATAAAGGGCAAAAATAGCAAACTAACAAACAATTTTATATCCCCAACAAAAAAAATTGTAAAAGCTTTCATTTCTAATAATTTTTTCTCAGATAAAATATGCATTGTGATCAGAATGACTTAACATATTATAAGTGTGGACATATGGACCAAAAGGCTATCGACTTCAAGAGGATGGAGCCCTCTCACCTTCAATCCAGCACTGACCAGGAAGTCTACAAGAACGGATTTGATTTTTGTCTGGCCAGATTTGAGGTCATCTCCTCCGATGAACACATTGTGTTTCATGGCAAGATCGATGACTCCTGGCACAAAGGTATTCTGTGGAGACCCATTAATGTAGGCACAACCCTCCAGAATGCTGGCCACGGCAAACATGGATGATGGGGACATTTCTCCTCCTTGCTGAAAGGGAAAGAAAACAAGGAATAATCAACATTTTTTTAATAAACAGTAATTTAATTGAATAAATAATTTTTAAAAATTCACCCACAAAATACAGTCACTACACTTTACAAAGTGTTCTGGGAAGCGCTTTGAAACGTCTCAACAACATGATAAGGCATATCAAATGCAAGGATTATTATTATTAACACCAAATCTACTGAATTGGCGAACTATATGGCGAAATGCTATAACTCTAAACTCAAGACCAAAGGTTTAACAAAAGTTGACAGGACTTAAAAACAGTGTGCCCCCACCCCCATTTCTGAAGTGAAAAGATTTATAGAAGTCATAAAAAGGCTCCAATTTACCAAAACTGTCTTCATTAAATTTTCTGCAGTGTCATTTATTCCATGAACAACATCACAAAAGCACTCTGTGTTAGCTGTCCACAAAACGATCACTTTATCAACTCCACTCTTTGTTTTAAAGTCCTGGATATCTTTTCTAATTTGCTCTATCTGTGAAGGCAAAAAGGAAAAAAAATCTTTAAATTCCTTAAAACTCACCTTCCACGTCCTGAATGTATTTCGACAAAGAGAACGACAGTAATAGTCAACATGAAATGGTCAATGCAACAAATGCACTCCACCTGAAATCAGGTGTAATACCATGATAAATAATTCAAATGTTTACTATTCAAAGATAGTTACCAGCAATTGAAGCCTAACAGTTCCAAAAACATAGGCTCACTCCTCTTCAAACATTATTACAACTCCTACTTGTGTCAATAAAGAGTGTATTTCCCCAAATTATGCACTGCCCATTGTCATTCGGAGGTCCCACACAAATCTCTGGTGGCACAGTAACTCTAATAGTGCCCCACACCCAATCATTCTTGCACAGACTCGGTACACTTATTCTACCTGTTCAAATTTGGAACCTTGCAACACATTGTCTGCCCGATCCTTTTGATTAGCTGCAATGAATGCTGGAATATAAATGGAAGGTCTGGGTTGAAGGTTCCTCATGTGAGGCCTCAGTTGTTCCTGCAATTCCCAATCCAGGACTTTAGCCCTTTGCATAGCGTCAGCAAGATTCATGGAAGAGATATCCCAACCTGAAAAGAATTCCAAATTCAGATTGTAACCAATGGGACAATGGGGGGGGTGAGGGCAAAAAGAACTTCAAAATACATGGCTACCCACAGAATCCCATATTGATATCCCACAGAATACATTAAACAATCCTTTATTATATAATAAAGCTTTCCGCTAGCTGAAGATGCCGAAAGCTTTATTATATAATAAACCAAATATACAGTTGCCAGTAATTATTTATGGGGGGGGGGGGAGGGGTGGAGACCCAAGCTTTGCAATGTTTTCTTCGGCTGCTCCAAAAGCTCTGGAGTCTATTGAAAAACAAAGTCTTATTTGTTCTTTTGTGTGCAACCAACCATTCCATACACCCTCAGAGAGTTTGCTTACCATCAAATATAATGTCATTTGGGTTCACCATGGGCAGTAGGTCCTTGAAGGGCACATAGTAGTCACCAGCAGGACCAGTTCCCAAACACACAGTGGAGGCTTGAAACAAGGATCCATAGTAATTAGCATCCTGAGTTAGGAGGCAGAGGGAGAATAAAATTGTGTGAAAGAACTATGTAGATGATAAATTGCAGGGGAAAAGACAAAAAACTTACAAAATATGGTCTAACAAGCAAGGAGAAACTTAAACTTGACGAGAGAAGGATAATTGGGGCTGAGGAATAAATTGTGCAAACAGCCTCACATTCAATCTCATCAGTAAACTCACTGTAAGTCACATGCCTACACCTGTCTACCCAATGAGAAAGTTATTTCTGGAATTAGTGCAGAATTAGTAATATTGTTCATCAGTTCTGGCACAAAGACAAAAGTCAATGTAGCCGATCACATCCAGACTAAATAATCAACCAAGTGGTTCCTAAGAATTTTCTTTTTATATAATTGAAATAATAACTTAAAGGTAAAACAAAGCCATTTACCTTGCTTCCAGTTTTGGTCATCCAAGAGAGACCCAGTTTATTCGCCAAAACAGCTGCAGTAACTGTAGTGCCATTGTTTCCACCCCAACCAATCAGCATAACTCCAAGTTTGGGCACTTTCCTCTCCGTGCAAAAGGTGAATTTTGTAGAGCAAGGTTTTACCTATACAGGTGCCAACAAATACAATTGAGTTGCTCTGCAGTTAGTACCCCTGAGACAGGATACATCACCTAGAGATGGAACAATTCTATGCCGGCTATTTTACAATCTGCTCAAGAACGAGAATCTGGTCTCAAATACGTTGTACTGGGGAAATCACATTGAACTCGATGTTGTACACACACAGAGAAACATTTAGAAATGGAGAGAAATGGATAACATTATAGGAATGGTATACGGGAGAAGGAAATATGGTTCTATACTGCACCCAGGTAACATTACATATATGTACACCGAAATAGAGGTGCCCAACACCCAGTTAATATCATTTACATGGTATACCATAGACCCAGGTAATATTATTCATCTTGTACACTGGCTTCCAGACCAAACATAATGTTACTCTTTAGCCAACCATCAGTAGTGTGACCAGCAACCTGGGCTACTAGTCCTCTCCCTCCATGAGCACGATGGACTTTGTTTGCCCACAAATATACAGTCAATTCACTTTACAGTGTATTCTGTGAAGCGCTTTGAGATGTCGTAAAAAGCGCTATATCAAATGCAAGGATTATTATTTGTTCACCAGCTTCATTGGACAGCACAAGGAAGATCAGGAACCTAATACATGGGAAGCACAGGTACAATGCAGTTTTCTATCATTCCAAAAGTATAGCATGTTTGAAATCTAATGACTTGCTGGACCATGTTCCCCCAAAGACCAGTTTAGTTAATTGTTCTGAAGCAAGACTTTTCTGTACAGCAGTGAGATCAAATCCTCTCATTCCGCATGTACCACCTCCATTAACTCACATCGTCAATGTCACTATACATAAGTGACATGAGAAATTCCTCGCCCTTGATTTCCAGACAAATCTTCCACTTGATGAGACCACCAGGGTCACAGTTCAAAAGAAGTGTTTATTTGATCCTCAAGATTGACAAATGCAGTCGGTATATATTCAGAACGTGATTAGACCATTGAGAGGCAGACAGACATGATAGGATATCAAGGCACAGGCCTCATCGACATCACAATCTCAGACTTATGGTTAGTCTGTTGTTTTATGGCCCACCTCAAGATAAAGCCAATCAAATGAAAATGAGAGCTAAGATAGTTGATTCTGACCTAGAACATGTACAGCATGCTTAATCATTTTAAAATTGCATTTTAGAGATTAAATGAGAAGGGGAACATTTTGATTTTCCATTTAATAATCTACAGGAGTACACAAACCAATTGCCTACCTCTTACCCAGATGCCTGCTGCTCGTTCTTGTACTAAGACACTCTAGCACTGAAAATGATCAAAAGTTTCATCACCTCTTAAAATATGTGCGAGTACAAGCAATGGCAATCGGAGTGAGAAAATAGGCAGGTAGCAAGTGAAGATTTCTGATGCGCAGAGCATAAAGAATAGAAAAAGCATGCAGTAGAGTGATGCTTATCTCATGTTTTCATATCTACATTGGAGTCAGTCCAATTTGTGTAGATATTTGGGCTCCCTATACTCATCAATGCTTATAAAAGTAAAGCTCATGCAAGGGTGGGGAAAGGAACAGGGGAAAGAACATCCGCAAAGTCTGCCTTTGTAGTGAGTCCTGCTTGAAAGTTTCAAAGTCTGGTAGACTGGACACGTGAAACCTCCTGGGCCACAGTTTGCACTGCAAGAGACAAAACAATAACTATATACTTGTAAAATAATAACAGCATTTAATTGGTACGGTTGATTGGGCTCCACCATATGACACATCTCAAACTGGTTATATAATAATAATAATCCTTGCATTTGATATAGCGCTTTTCACGTCAGGAGGACGTCCCAAAGCGCTTCACAGCACACACTGTAAAGTGAATTGACTGTATATTTGTGGGTGAAAGCGGCAGCCGATTGCGCACAGCAATGTCCCACAAACAGTCGTAGATTGAAAATGACCAATTTATTATTTTTTGGGGGTTTTGGAGGGATTATTATTATAGCAAATATTATTATTTGGAGGGTTATAGCACCCAGTCTGATGGCCACACAAGATTGACAATGGTGCTTAAATAGCAATAGAAGTTACTGATGTTCCTTAATTGAGAAGCTGTTCTCCAAGCTTAGTTGATGTGCTTTCAACCAATTGGCTTTGCACAACTCTGAATATCTGAGTTGCTGACTTCTGGATCCTTCCTAAACATAGGTCAAAGCTTAGACTTGTCAAGTCTTGGGCATTGCCACTCACCCTCTCTGACACTATCCAGCTTCACTATCGGTCAAGATAAAAGACAAAGTACTTCACCTTAACCTTGCCATTCTCCTGAAAAACTTCCGTAGTCTGGTAGGAATACTGTGCCTCAATGGAATCCTTGGTGTAGGTCACATACGGGCTCTCAACAAAAAACATGTCAGCCATCTTTCGTACCTGCAGTAGATTAAGGGGTAAATAAGAAAAGCGGAAATAAATTCACGGGTGAAACAATGGAGGGAAAAACACAAATACGGAGCGTCTGAAAACATCATTTGTCGGCAATTTCAAGTAACACAAAGTGAACTCTCTCCTTGAATCATTTGTAGAAAGGGGGTGGGGTGTGTGGTGGTGTGTGGACAACAACAACAACCAACTTGCATCCATGTGGTCGATTGGCGGATCCCTCCACCCACCGGGGTCGACGGTCCCATCCAAAAAGTAACTAAACAAAAACCATTCGGTCGTGCTGTCCGCGGGACGCCGCTGTGCGCAAATGGCCGCCGCGTTTCGCCCACACAAAAAAAAAAAACACAAGTCGGCCGACTTCACAGTGCATACATAGCCCGTGAAGCGCTTTTGAGACGCCTCGACGGCGCGGCGCGGCGCTCGCTATAGCAACCGCGAGGATCATCAGCATCATCTTCGCCGTCACCATCTTCTTCTTCCCAGCACCTTCTCGAAAAACAACCGAGTGCGAAGGCCGTCACGTTGACATTTTAACGTTTCCCCCAGACCGACCGACCGACGCGCGGGACGCACCGAAGCCCTCAGGCTCGACGACGACGACCAGTCAAAACGCCACGCGAAACACGGACAAGCGGCCGCGGCCGCGTTCACGCGCGGACCCCCCCCCCACACACACACACGCACTGTATAAATGTAGGTGGGCTATCAGGCGTCTGGAGAAGACGAGGCTCGACTGGACCGGACGGACCGGACGCGATGCAGCAACCGGCGGCGGCGGGCGTCGCGAGCGGGACACGTTTGAAAAATAACCGCCCCTCGAGCGGGTATGCCCCGCCCCCCCCACCCACCTCCCAACCGCTCTCCCTGCGCGTGCGCATAGGGGGCCGATTCGGGAGCCGTCAGCGCGAGGGGCACGTGCGCTCCGTTTGAAAGCTAACCGTCCCCCCCCCGGGGCTCGAGCCCGCTCGCGGACCTCGCCAGTGAGGCAAAGTTGGCCGCTGTCAAGTGTTTAACAGCTAATTCCCACACACCCCCCCCCCCCCCTCCCTCTCGCAGCACCTTCCCCACACAACCCGATGATAATTTGAGAAGGCGGCCCTGTCCAGAATGAACTCATCCCCGAGCGCGAGCCGGTCCGGTCCGCCCGCCCGCCATTGTGACATTGTCGGGAGCCCTCTCGTCATCCATCTCCCTCCCTCCCTCCCTCGGAAGCAGGGGTTTCTTTTTTTGTGTGAGGGGGGGGGCTTTCCTCCCATCCTCAACCCCTAATCTTCCTCCATCGCTGCCTCTCTCTCTCCCCCCCACCACCACCACCACCTCTTCCTCTTCCTCTTCTTCCTCCGCGCGGGAGATTACAGACCTCGGGTTGTCCAGGAGCTTCCGGAGTGGATTTTTGTTGTTGTTGTTGTCGTTGTTCCCCCACTCCCCCGCCCGCCCGCCAGCCGCTTCCTTCCTTCCTTCCTTCCTTCCTTCCTGCCACACGGTTTGGGAATGAGGGAAGTGGGATCGGATTTAGTCGCCGTCCTTCCGCGTGAGGTTTCTTTGTGACGGCGGCAGCACCACCACGTGCTCGTCCACAACCAATCCGGACGGTGACCCCGCCCCCCGCCCCGCCCCCCCCCCCCCCCCGCGGCCGCCTCGGCAGTGACGGGCGGAGACTGAGGAAGATGGCGCCGGAAGATTTCGAGGTAAACGCTTACGGTTCTTAAGAGCGACGCGAACCGACCGGACCGCGCGACCAAACACCCCCGAGCGCACACACACACACACACTGAGAGTGAGAGAGAGGGAGAGGGGGCCTTTCACGTCGGGGAGGACGTCCCGAGACGCTGGACAGTCGCAGCGTTTCGGACCCGAGTTGGGGGAGGGGTGAGGGGGGGGTCTTATTTAATGTACGGTCCCAATTGTGCGACGTCACCCTCTCGGTTGAGCTTTCGCAGCTCAGCCTCTGCCCTTCACATTTTTGTGTCGGCAGATTGTTCAGATGCGCTTCGCCTGTTTGCCTTCGGCCCCCCCGGGTCTGGCCTCCTCCCCCGAGCCCTCCGCTCCACCCTCGGCGGTCGGGCCTTCAGCCACTGCGCCCCGAGGCTCCGGAAATTGGCCGCCGCGTTCGCCCACAAATATACAGTCAATTCACTTTACAGTGTGTTCTGTGAAGCGCTTTGGGACGTCCTCCCGACGTGGAAAGCGCTATATCAAATGCAAGGATTATTATTATTATTATAACTCCCTCCCTCCCTATTTTCAGGTCTTCTGCTGAAGACCTTTCTTTTCGACCGCGCCTTTGGTCACCTCCCCCCCGGGATCCGTTACTGTAAAGCGCTCTGAGACGCCGTCCGGCGTGGAGGGCGCTATAATCAATCCAAGTTGTTGTTGTTGTGACCCTGTCCGGCGCGGCCAGAAATCTCTTATCAAAATTTTTAAAAATTGCAAATATTCATTTTATGCAACACAAGAAACCAACTGACTATGAAAGAGTGTTTATTTCGATGTAAGTGTCTTTCTTACAGTAGAACAATGCTTTGATCGCCTGGTCTTCATTCTCCTGTAATCTCACTTGTACATGTGGTGCTGGGAATAAAACAACGAAATCAGAGGTGCATTTATGGCAATAACCATTCCTTATTTTCTTACTGCATCCACATGAAACATCATACGCTGCATCATCAATTCTTTCAGAAGTGGCTGAAATTCTATGAAAAATGGCAGTTCCATTCATAGATGTAATTATGTATACCCTATATTTATGACATTCGCTCTGAGACGCCGTCCGGTGTGGAGGGCGCTGACATTCCTCAGATAACTCTGTAAATCTGTAAGGTGATTAATGATGTGGGAGGCAGGAGGGGAGATGGAAGAGAATGTAACTCACTAAGACTAGAGATAAATGGAAGGTGGTGTTGTAAGTTGGTTAAAATGGCATAGAAGAAATGCTTATGAAGCTTCTTCTCCAAACATACTCGACCCTTGCACATCCTTGTACCCATATCTTCTAGATAAGCAGACCCTTTTGAGACAAAGCAGCTTGCTCATTATTCTTCAATACAGGACATCTTGCTTCTCCCTTCCAAGGCTGGAGCCTGTCTGTCTGGTAGAAACATTTATAAAAACCGCGGTCTAACTTAAGTTAGTTAACTCCAGAGCATCACTGAGTGGTTGCAGAGAACAACGAAGATTGAAAGCTTGGACAAAGAAGACAGAAGACTTGAGAACTAGGAAAATCTTAAGGCTTGATCACTTGAAGAACTAAAGTTTGGTTTAAAGTTTCGCCCCCTCTCTTATTTTCTGGTCCCTGCTGAAGACCTTTCTTTTCGATCGGGCCTTTGGTCACCTTCCTCCCCCTCCTGCGGCCCCGGGATTCGCTACTGTGAAGCTCTCTGAGACGCCGTCCGGCGTGGAGGGCGCTATATAAATCTAAGTTGTTGTTGCTTGCTGTAAAGACAAAGTGCCGAACCTGCAACGCTCGGTAGTATTGCTCTGTTTTATTAAAATAGACGTTATTTTTTCAACACATGTATGCATAATTAAACGTTTGTTTTGATTAAAACATCCTGAGACTGACCTGTTGGTATTACCGAATCCAAAGCTGTTTTGAGTGGTTGCAAACACTCTACGACAGTGAGGAATTAAATATTCTGAAATAGCTTGATCTAGTGATTAACATTTTACCAGATGAGAGGTGGCATTGTCATGGTTCATAGGGGATAAGACTACAAAAAGTGCCTAAAAAGTTCAACATAGTATATGGTCTGTTGCAAGATACTCAAGACTGGCTTTGGCTGTGTTTGGGTTACATGTCATAAACAACTATGTTATGGACAAATAAAGTCTAACATTACACCATCATATGTCAATAACTTCTCCAATGTGCAACAAAATCATTAATTGCAGAAAAACAAAAAACTCGAGTTAAAACCATTACTCCAAATTTTGATGAATTTAAATCAGCATTGGTGTTTCATGATTTGTTGGTTTACCTTCTGCTCCGTGCACTTGGTGTTACAGTACTGTTTTGGGCTCATTACCCATTATGATTGTCTAGTCTCTGACCATTTTACTTCAGTCGCTCATAATGGACTGCCCCTCACTTTATATTCTTTCATCCCTAATCCAGGGATTTTAAGTCTATTTATACTGCTTTCATCAATCCACTGGATGACATCATCTAATTACCAAAGAGGGGAGACTTATTTTTCCTTCTATTCTGGAGGCATTGGTTCCTTCATGTATGTCAGCCATTTGAGTTTTATTCATGTTTGTTTTGACAGTGAATTTTAGTAGGCTGGTTGCCCATGGGATGTCATGAACTTGTGCTTGTTTTCATCCACACTTATGAAACAAGGAGCAGGAAATCTGTAGATATATCACTGACGTTAAAGTAGGAAAGAATCGGACTGAATGAGAAACTGAGGTAGATGAGCAAGCTTTCCACAGTGCTGTAAGGGTTAAACGTTAATCAGCACAAGTCTGTCATTACACGTACTTGCTTATAAATATAAACACTTTAATCACCTTTATGTATTAACTAACAGCATCTGACCTTGGAGAGCTAGGAATCTGGAAGCAGAATCGCAGCTCCCAAGAAAACATTTGGGAACAATGCTGACCAACCAAATCTTTTATCATTAGTATCAGCTAACCATGTAAATCATAAGTATATACACACACAATCTCTCTGCCCACAGATAGCATCTGTGTGTCATTCTCCATTAGACTCAACCCTCAGTTAATATATTTTCCCTTTCTCCTCTTTTGGTAACATTTCTAAGGGTGACAATTTTCCAATCAGTCTGTATTGAATTGTTAATCTCAGCTGGGACATGGGTAGAAAGGGCTCAGTGGAGTTTTCCAAGATTATGCTGGAGGTGGATGTGTGCCTTGTGGGTAAATGGAAATTTAGCTATACTTAATGTTTTCTATTGTTATGTAAGTAGCCCTACTTAAAATTTGTGCACATAGTGGCTGAGGGCAGGATGAAGTTTAGCAAATAGGGCTTTGATGTTTCAGTTGCTTTTTCTTTCCACCGCTTCAATTTGCTTCTCTTCTGAATATACGGAATGATCTTGAGGTATTGTTAATTTTATATTTATTCCTTACTCCCTCCCACACCCTCCTATTCCCCTGTCCCTCATGTGAAGGTCTAGCTTCCTCTAAGTGCATCTACACAATCTCACTGGCCCAACCATGATGTACACAGAGAAATATATGCACATCTGAGCAGCGAGTCATTGGAAAACTGGGGAATGAAAACCTTCACAGAATTCCCTCTTTACAGCTCAGACCAGACTGGGGATTACAACCTAGCAAACATTTCTGGCCTGGCTCACTTTATCAGGGAGTGGTTTTTATCTAATGAGATCGTTTGAGTACAGGTTGGAGATTTATTTTGGTCAGACATTTATTGGGGGCGGGTTTGAGCCTGCACTTATGTGGAGGTCAGGTACCAGGAACTCCATGCAAGCTTTCTGCCCGTAAAGGCTGGCAGTTATACTTCAGTGAGGGTAACGGCTTTTTCTTCACCAACATATTTGTACGTTGTCTCCGAATTCTCTGTATAGGTTGCTTGATTTTTCTTTTGTGCTGCACTTTCAGATACTGCACCTTCAGGACCTTATTCTCAACCCTCAGCCCTATTCTAGAAGCAACATTGCCACCTAGTGTCCCATCATATTCACATTAAATTACTGGTGCCTTTTGCATTGAAATTACAATATTTTATATTAGGAAATAACAATCTTTGAATTGTAAATATTCACCCCCGGTCAGTCTTCCTCCAGGACTCACGCCCCATGCTCACACGACAGGACAACTCAAATACTGTTAATTGGCCACAATATATATTTATTGGCTCATAAGAAATCCTTCAAAACAGTACTTTACATTTTAAAGTAACTTGTACAGTATTACTTAGGAAATTGGGGGTCTTTGTAAGGGAATGCTGTGTACAATTCATATACAAGAACTGTCTTTAACAATAAAATCATACAGGAGCCAGGACTCCCCATCCAGCATGCTTTGAGTTTCAGTACATCACCAGTCTACTTTGCCACTGTATAATCCAGTCAATTCACTTCCTTTTATCTAAACCAGAAAGGAAGGTAAACCTGGCCCCTTCAAGATATTCCAAATCATAATAATTTCTGATCCAAATTATACGGATCATCAATCAGTATTTTAAGCGACTCCTTCACAGTGCTGGGAATGCTCAGCATATATTACATTATTGTGGTTCACATAATAGGAAAAAGAATTATGAAAACCTGCTTAGTTTAATAGTGCCTCTCCCAATACTGCAACAGGAATCCTCAAAAGGGAGGGTTCTCTGAGCGACCGACTAAACCAGTGAGCAGAGAAAGGGTTGACATTAAATCACTCTTACCTATAAATTCTACCCCAGGGCCACCCACAGTTATTTACAGTGAGCAGCTAGCCATTGGTGCTTAATGTGAACCACACAGTTGCTTGTTTCAGGAATACTTTCACAGAAGTTATGGCACGTGAAGCAATGGTTTAGAAATCACACATTAGATAAAACGATTTCCCAGTGAATCTTCCAGTCAAACAGAGATGCACACATCTTGTGATAAGCAAATCAAGCACTACGATGACCGCTGAATTCAGTGACTTGTGTTGCTGCATTTCATTAATAAAGCACTGCTCTCTGGGACTGGCTTTGGGGGTTGTCAAATAGACTATCTACATGAAATCCGACAGACCAGCTCTTTATGGCTGTGGGACTTTTACCTGTGTGCACATTCTGTCTCACCTAACAAATGAAGATAGTGCCATAGGGAACAAATGACCACCAACTGCATGAAGCATGTCTGCAGGAATTGCAGCTGTGTACAGGGCTCACTAATTCACCTGGATCCTCACAATATCCCATCAGCCACATACATTGGTCCAATTCACTGTTTATACTTTTGGGAGTTGCACTAATCTAAAATACCAATTTATCTTTTCCATTCTAGTACATCAAGGTATATGTAAAGGGATATTGTCAAGTTTCCCAAAGGTGGAACTTTGTGAATGGAAACCCAATGCTGAGTTTTAGTAAGATTTGGGCAAAATTTACTGTCTCTTCCCCCCAAAAAAATTCCTGGTTAAATTCAATTCATTAGTGAGAGGCAACAACTACCACAATGCCTCTGCATCCAAGAATATACAGATTGGATACTGTACAGCTTATGCTTATAGGGTTTTGCACCCAACAGTACTGTGAAACCAGGAATAAGCAATCACAGTGGCCAAAGGAACCTTGTCCAGAGGCCATTTGACACTGAGACCCTATGGCAATGGAACATGAAGCAGAATTACCTTCTCTTGGGTGGAGATCCCATTATTTTAGAACTTAAATCCATAGAAAATCTGTTGCTTGGATGCTCTCCTTCTGCATGAACCCTCTTCCCTCAGATGCAATAGCTCACATTTCCCAATTGACTGCATAATGTATTGGAGGTCAGTGAGCAATAAATTTATGGTATGAGAACCAACAAGCCACCTCTCCCCATGCAATGGAAACCAGTGAGCAGGGTAAACTGATTGCAACTCATACCAAAGTAAACTGATTGATGTCCTGGCATCCTTAGAATCCAGTCAATTCTCCCAACAGTAAAACACAAATAAATCATACTCTGAGCTCAAGGGTTCCATTCATTTAATATCCTGTCCAAGAGTCCAGTTTATCTTGTTTCAGAAAACTTTATAACGCTCATCTCTACATAAATTTCTTTTTAAAAAAAACTAAAATACATTAACCTAAAAATAAAAACAGCCAAGCAGGTCGTAGTATTTATATAATTATTAAATATCTTATTGATCTACAATTGCCCGAGCCTGCATTCTTCAGTATATACAACTACATTATCAACTTGTCACTGAATACAAGTTTGCTTTCAAAAATATTACACAGCAGTGTAGAAATCTTTTAATCCAATAACTTTTAATACTCTTCTCAAAAAAATATTTGTATTCGAACTGCTGGAGTTTTAGAAACATTGGGATGTTTTTGACTCAAATATTCTCAGATGCCATTTTTCAGCCTGCTGTAATACTGTACAGTGGGAGAGAGGGCAGAATCGCTGAGCATTCTCGTTTCACTGAATAAATCAGAAGGGAATTAAGACTGGGAACGTTGGTTAGTGCCTTGGTGGAACCCCCATGTGCACATTGGCAACATGGAGAAGTTCATTCTCAGACACCGGGGTGTACCCTTTTATGTGGGAAGGGGATAGACTAGACCCCCAAAAAATCAATTCAACTCTTGCCAGGGCAAATTAACCTTTTATCAACTGAGTACCTTGATGTTTAAAAGGAGAATGATAGCAGCAGATTCTACAGAAATGTGCAAGTGAGGCGCAGGACAAAATACTACTTCCTAAAAGGCAACAGGAATATGGAGGCGGAGGATGTACAAGTCATCGGCAACAAGGGCAGCTCAAAACACTATGTCAATTATTTAAGGCTTGAGTAACAGACAAATAGGATATTAGCAGCTGAGGGGGCATAGAAAAATACCAAGTTACAAAAACAGGAGACTGTGGCACATGGGGAAGGTCTCTCCATCATAAAAATACATTCTGATTCTGTTATTTTGAATGTAGTGCAAAAATGTTCTGCAATACTTAAAGAGGGTTAAAGAACAAGAAGGGGTTACACAGAAAACAGCAATGCCAGAAAACTCTCACCCATACGGAACATGTCCCTTTTACATTGCAAATATCCATTCAGAATTGTGATCAGATTTGTTTGGAATAGTTTAGATTTCGACAATCCCTTACGTTGTTCAGGTTTTCAATGGAGTTCCATTTTAGGTAAAACTACCGCAAGAGTTGTGGTCTCATCGCTACACCGGATTTTACCTGAACCAGTGCACTGCCTCTCCAAGGTATTCATTCGTAAGAAATAAGAACAAAAAGTCACAGAGTAAAGCCCAGTCAAATGGAGGGTAAAATCCCCTTTGATATTTAGTCGCTTCAAGCTACAAACCCAACTGAAAGCTCTGTACTGGTCAGATCAATCTTGCAGCTGGAGGGCCAGAGGTGCCAAGAGGAGACTGTTTTCGAACCAAATGGGTCACATTCACATTCTCAAAGCACTTGAAAAATATTTTAGTTTAATTTGTTTGGAACGAGGGAGAAGGGAAGAAAGTTCTTTCCCTTCGCTCCCCAGAGTAACGTTCTTTGAGCACCAAAGCAGCCCTTGGGCAGGCCACACTGGTATTTGGGCTTCACTAACTGGTTCCAAATTTTACCCGCACACTTATGAAGTAAAACATTTCACAGCTAAGAGATGCCATGTAGTTAGACATTGATCCAGTATTCCATAACTAGAAAGCGGGGAGCCAGCTTGTAAAGTCAAGTATTTATTCCATGCCCAAGTCTCCATTTCCCAAACCAAACAGAAGTTTATGTTGAAACAGGACAGGTATTGAATAAATAAATTCCAACACTGAATTGCGTAACTCGCTGGGTTGGTTTGACAGGTTTCCAGTGTAGTGTAGGTAGACTGCTGGGTTAAGAACCCATCTCCTGCACAGACAGGACAGGCAAAATATCCTTCTAGTCCAGACAGGTATTAAACTAAGATGCTTTTACAGACGCCCCAGAGTTTTGATACTGATTCATGTTCCTGTGTACTTACCAGGTAGCAACACTCGCAGGGCAAACATCCTAGGCTTTCTTTTAAAATCGCCACATTGGATGTTTCCATAAAATTTGCATCTAATATCGAGTTGTGACACTACCTTCACACTTTGCAAGCTCAATTTTTCTTTCTGACAAATCATGTCGCAAAAGGGAAATCACCTACCTTGCTACCCTCATCTCTTCCACCACTGAATGTCAGTGCCGCTCACCTCGGATTTCAGCCTGTGAAGTTCCACCTACAGCAGTCTCTAAACCCGTTGAAAATTCCCTCCTCCCTCCCACCCCCCAAAAAACCATGAACATATTATGTCCCTTCCTACGCTGACAAGTCCTAAATTTCTGTTTACTGGCTAGTAATTTAGAATAGGGGAAATTACAGTATTTGGGAAACAACCAGGAAAATGATGTAAAAGAAACAGGAGTAAAAACTAAAGGCAGAATGTACAAACAAGGGAAAGAAGAATTCAGGCCCAAAGACTAATTGAAATCGTGGCAAAAGCTTGGAAAATAATACTCAACATCTAGAATCTTTGAACATTGAAGAAAAGAACACAGTAACTTGAGGACTTCCTGTTGGTGCCTTGATCAAAATCCCCTCTTCCAGCCTGCCGGTCAGGTCCCTGGTCCCATCAGCTGATTAAATATTAAATAAAAGAAGACAACACCAGGATATGAGCCAACGGAGGGGGTTTGGTTAATGCGGACTGATACCTATTCCAATGGGAACAGCAGCCAACGGCCCATTCTCTGTAACAAGCATGTCCATAGTCTAACCTCAATAGGTTCCAAATACGTGGCTTTATTTTTTTCTATTTTTATCGATCTATATTTAGAGCTTTCACTGGTCCAGTGCTTACCAAAGCACTTTCCTGTACAGATTTACACTGGCTTCTGTGAAATCATGTTTAAACATGTAGAAGTATTTTAAAGTTCTCTGCTGCATCACACCTAAAGTAGTAAGAATTTTTGTGCATTTCCTCCTCCCACTCAAAGCAATGATCAAAATGCACTCACTGAATGGAAAGGAACGCAATGTCACAGGAAATAGACCCACATTTAAAGTATCAAATCAAAGATTAGAATCTGAATTTTGAAGTTCAAATCAAAAATTAAATAACTTCACACTTCTCCCTTGAAGGGTTAAGGCATTATTGGGCACAACAGTAGGCTTCACGTTATCTTTGTGGCAGTGTGTTACTCAGGAATGGATTAAAAGGGAGCAAAACTAGAAATCCCCATTGTATACAATTTTATTGAAGGTTTTTTTCCCCCTGCTCCTCTCTCCTGAAGGCACTGGCTCTCGTTGGGCTACAATTTCAAGGCTGCTTTACTTGTCAAAGTAGTCATTCTTCACATGCGAGCATAAATAACGAGCGCTGGTAGGTTATTTTGTCTTGAAGTGCATCATAGCCACACTAGAATGCGTTCTTGATATCTAATACTCGGCACAGATCACTGAATAGTAATCTCAATTATACAGGCCTAACTAATCCAGGAAAGACCGGGAATCAAACCTGCAAAGTTCAAGTCTATACAGCTTAGTGCTTCACCAGAGGATGACTTTACCCAGTACATAATTGGGGATATTAGGATGCACTTCATATTCAAATTTTAACTGGTTTAGTTAGGTTCCAAGGAGAGCCATTTAACTGAAATAGGTTGTATATTACTCATCTATCTCTATACAGTACTACTAAACGTCTCTCCTCCCCCCCACCCACCCCCACACACAAATACTCCTCATATCCATTTAGAATTCATTGACAGTGGGAAAATACATAGCTTGTTAAGAGAATAGCTGCATTTGCAAGTGCAAATTAGATAAAGGTGATTTTACAGACAGAAAGTAAGTCAGCAAGAAGTGCAATTTAGAGATCAGATTGATCACAAAACTAGATACAGATTAGGTAGTTGCCTCAAGCAGACCAACAGCATCTTCTGCGGGTGGTGGGGGGGGTGGGGTGGGGGAGGAGAAAGAGAGAGAGAGACAAGAAAGAGCAGCTTTGGACCGCGTTAGTCTACGGATCAGCAGTCACCCACCTGGCTGCCTGTCAGGGAGAAACAAAATGAGAAATTTGTTGCTTCCTGTCTCTGGCAATTTACTAGGCCATGACTGGAGCACAAGTACAATTCAGCCAATCACCACAACCATGACTGGCCAGATACTGTCTTGAGGCCAAAACATCTGGTACAATGTCACCGAGATGGGAGGTCAGTGTCTTCTACCGAAGTAGTAAATTAATTCAAAACAGATAATCACAATTCTGTGCCGTTACAAAAATTGAGACAATTTTAGGTTTATTTCCCACCCCTTTGTGTTTTTTTTCTCTTCAATTGTTTGGATAATTAATCAGGATCACAGTGATTAATACTGGTTAATGACTAGTTTTATACACCATGCTATAGCTTTACATTGGAACATCACAATGCTAACCAGGACAAGTGATTTTTATTTTCCTGATACTTGCCTCAGGGATAGTCGTGGTTATTCCAACAGTAAGTGACACGTCAAAGAAAGTTCAGGCACCCAGACTCGCAGCCAGGGCTCAATATAAGGCCAGGATTGTATGGTCTCATATAGGCAGCTAAACAGTCAGTAAACCAATCCTGAAGAATGTACACCACTTGTAATATTAATAGTACAGAAACAGGGAAACTGAAAGCTGACAACTAGTCTGTGTTCAGAGACCTCTAGGATCATAAATGGCTTCCTGCTACATGGCCTAAACCCAACATGTGATCTCAAAGAATGTCCTGGACTGGAAGGAGATACTTTACCCATTACATCAGGCCACTGTCTTCCCGATGGACAGTTTAAATACTTTGAACAGGGAAGAAATAGAAAGGGCACTTAATGCCACATCACCAGTGCAGACAGCCTTGAAACAAACAGGCGCCAAGCCCACACCAGATTCAAAAGGCTGGCAACAGTTTACACATAATACTTGACAATACCTTACACTGTGAAGAAGGCAAATGGAGAAAAAAGCAGCAATAATTTCACTCCAGGAGGAAGTTTCAAGAGTCATGGGATACATAATGAACAGCAAATCTTGTTTACAGTTTCCATTTTAGCCAGTTGTGACCTCTGCTCTTTAGACCACTAAATTCTTCTCATTATACATTAATTGACCATGGTTTCCCCCAAGATTCTCTAATAAGAGTTAGTGCTGGCCTCAATCAGCGGATTATCCTCCTCTTGTGGCATACAAAGGGGAAATTGGAAACACAATTAGATGCAATTTTTCTCTTTAAAAAATTATATGCTCAGTTTCTTGCTAATGCCAGGACTGGAGCTGCTTCTGGTCATACTCTGCTATCAGTTTCTTAACGTGAGCCAGCTTATTGTGTAGATATTCACAGCGATACTTCTCCTGGCTGTACTTGGGATTTGTCTGCAGATAAATAAAAAAAAGGTAATTCTTAAGAATTCAGACAATTCAGCAAAGAATCAGGACATCAAGAGCTCAACAGTGGCTCCAGTCAGCATTTTCAGACTCAACACCCCAACATTTTATGATTGGTTAGATCTATTTTGTGGGTTCTCAGTGTGTAGCCAACTAAACATATTGACATTTTTTAAACATCCAACTATCAAAATATTCTGCCCTGCCCTTCACAACTTCCTGAATGCAATCTGGCTACAAAGCTTCATATCCCCACAAAAAAACATTTCAGTTAATGGTCAGACCCTCACCTTTTTAATTTTACGATACTCTTGTAAAATTTGATCGTGGATAGTCTGTGGGAATAAAATAAATTGTTAAGGATTCATTTGGGCGATTTAAAAATTCCCTGCATTGACAAGCCATTTGGATGTACTGTATAGTAAAATAATGGCTAAATGGATCAGCAGTTAAAAACTGGCCAAACAGACAGAAGTGAAGAGAAAATATTTAAGTAGCAAGAAAGAAAGCAAGAGACAGATGGAGATATGAAGGGTGCAGTTGTCTTACAGCCAACAGCTGCTCTGCCTTTAATGATCCACAGGAGGGAAGGTTCGACAAATAGTGGAGATTGAGCAAACTTGTCTAAATTTAAAGTGGGACTGAAAATTAACCATTAGATACCGTAGGGGTGATACTATATAACAGTCCTGGAGGTCCCAGGTTCATTCTCTAACTTGTGCCGAGTGAGCTGATCTTAGTAACGGTAACAGTGCATTAAACAGCCCTAACAGGCACTAGAGGTTGAAGATTAACATTCAGCAGCTGGGATGAATCAACAAGATTTAACACCTTCAAAAATAAAACTGAACAGTGATCAAGTCGAGCATATAGGAATTGATGGAAATAGAAGAATAAATATTATTGAACAGTGAAGATGTGGGGAAGAATGCTGAATACTCTAGACTTTTTTGCTAGATTATTTTTGGGGTCTCTATTCAATACATTTCAATACTCTACCCCCAGGAGATAGAATGAAGTCGATGATAAGAACTGGGTTCTGAGAGTCACTTGACTGGTTGAATAGTCTTCTCAGCAGATACAGCATTAATAGTGCTTCCTACAGTATAGAAGAATGAACTGCACAACCCGGCCTTTCTATACTTGCTTCATCATATTTTAAACAACAAAATTCATGCTGACAATTATTAACCTTCATGTTAATTATCTCTTTAATCCATTTACTTTGTGCTTGCGGTAAAAAAAAATTAAAAAATTAAAAAACCTTGTAGTCTCCTGATCCTGGAGAGAGCTGTTTGAGTTCTGCATCCAGCTGGGTGAAACGCCTCGTTATGCTCTCTATCCTAGAGTGGAGATCCCGGTACTCGCTGTACTCTGCGTTGAAGTCATTTTTATAGCTTTGCCTCTGTTCTTGCGATGCAATCGCTGTGTACTTACTGTGAAAGAAATTAAGATTTGTTAAAATATTCTCTACCAGCTGGCATCTTCATGGTTGAGATATTGGGGTAGAAAGGCTGAAGGTCTGACTGCCACTGGTGGATCGGGGAGGTCGGGGGATATCGAGACAGGCCAGTGCCTGCCGAGCAGAGAGCATGGATAAGTTGGTAAAGTTTTAGTAGGTCGCAGAGGTGCACGATCGAGGAGGGTTTTAAAAGGCGAGGACGAGAACCTTGAACTCGACCAGTCACTGGAGACTGGTAGCCTGCCTTCCCACTCAGCTCCAGATAATCTGCCAAACCAAAGATCTAAAAGGTAGGGTAGTCCTTGCTGGACATTCAGCAGGAAGTTTACCATTGTTCTGGAATAGTACGCTACACTGTTTTAGCTGGTTAAACTCCAGCAGAAGCCAATGCAGATTCTAAGGTTCCCCCACCCATAACTCTTGAAAATTCTGCAGGAACCAGATAAGCAGGATGCACTCACTCAGGAGAGAATGCATTTCAATACCAGAGAAAACAAATGTGGAAAGCGCAGTAGTTTGGTTTGGAGACTCTTAAGCATGGTGATGTTTCCATATGTGTCAGACACTCAGCTGATTAAAAAATTCCACCAGATGGTAAAGCAACTATCCTGTGTAAAAACAGTCAATTCAACTGAGTTGAGGGATTTCAGTTGAAGGGCCGGGGATGGGGGGTGGGGGAGAATCAATCATGATCCCACTACTGATCAACTGATCACCATTAAGTAAACTTTGCTGGAATGTGTGACTTTCGGGCAAAGATAGCGGCTGGGTTGCGAAACCCCAAATTGTCAATACTCTGGCGTCAAAAAGGGTGTCATGAACTATATACCCTGCATGAGTCAGAGGAAAAACGCAGGTCAGACCGTCAACTGGAATGTATGTCTCTTGCCACAGGCAGAAGACAAAACATAACGAATCTGGAGAGTCTCGACCATTTCCTATTGGGCAAGTGTCCACAGCACAAAACCGACCCAAATTTGGCAACTTCACTGAGAGGCTACAGGATGGCTGATGTGGAAAACGGAAATATCAAACTTGTGTTCTCCCTCAAGATAAGGCTAAGGCACCCAAGGCGTAGGGCAATCCATTATTCTATTTTTTTTAGATTAGTGAATCGCTGGGTAAATGTGGATCACTTTGCACGCAACAGGGTGGCTATTTAGCCCCATCTCTAGCTGTACTGTACAGCCCCATCTCTAACAGTATTACTGTACACAAAATGACAGAGAAGGCATTTAATTTCAGTGAACTGGATAAAAGGTGTAATTAGTCCAAATAGGTCACTATTACAGCCAACATGCACCACAAAGAACCCCTCCACTCCCTTGGCACATCTTTTACTTACAGTAAATAATCCGGTGTTTCCGACGTTGATGTTGGAACACTTGAGTTGTTGCACATTCCATTCAACCCTACAAGGAAACAGATTATGTTTGTAATAAAAACTAAAAGTCAGGGCTGGAAGAATCCACATTACAAACGAAGGCGGAACGATAGAATCTTAGAAGTTATAACACAGAAACAGGCTAATCTGCCTATCAAGTCTGTCCAGATCTTTTTCTTCACATAATCTACCTAATTTAAGCCTGTTCCCCTCCTGCTCACTCTCTATATCCTTTAACATCTATCGTTGTAAATCTTGGCACAGGTACAAGGAGTCAAATGGCCTTTTTCTATGGTATGTATTTTAAAATTCTCTCAGGCTCACACAACACAAATTTCTACAACTCTCCATCCAGCGCACAGTAGCCCAAACCGAAGTATACAAGAAACTTGAGAAACAGTGCTCATATTATTGACTCTTTCCCCCAAATAGCTAAACAACCCCAGACCAGCCATGTGAAAAAGACTGCTTTGAATATGTGTGGTAATAGTCACATCTCTTTCTATTTCACCACCAAATATAGCCAAGTATTCACAAATGCTCTTCCCCTGAACTAATTTGAGAAACATCAGCACATTCACTTTTAGTAAAACCCGTTAAAACCCATGTTCATGTAGTACAAAATACAGCACAAAATTGCATTTGTAAAGCGCCTTTCACATCAGGAGGATGCCCCAAGGCGCTGAACAGTCAGGGATTAGAGATTGGGACTGGAGCGGTAGATTGGGGTTAGGATCGTGGAAGGGTGGAGGGCAGAGAGGGTGGCCGAAGGCACAGTCAAGGAGGAAGATCTTGAGGCGGGCATTAAAGGAGGTAAGGGAGAATGCGAGGCAAAGGGAATGTGGGATGGGGCTGAGAGGCTGAAGGCCCACCACCGCTGATGGTGGCGCCATGCGGGGTACATGGAGCAAGCCGGAGCCTGCTGAGCGGATGAAGCGAGCACCTTGTTACAGCAATAAAGAGTGAGGCAAAGCTTTACAGACTCAATCTCGCCTACTCGTCGGAATCTACCATTACACCATTATTATACTAATAGTTTATCAAGAAATTACAGTGAATGGGTGGCTGGTTACGTGCTGAGTTTTACAACCATTTCAGCACTTGTTCAGTGCAGATTACAGACATACATTTTACAGTGGATCTTCTGAGTCGCTTTAACATGACTATGAAAGGCACTATATCAAACACATGGATTAGTATTTATTATAATGGATTTAGAACAAACAGATCAATCCATGTAATTCTACCATTCCACCGCCAGATGTCTTCATTTTCAAGTCTTCTACTTTTGCATTTTGTTTGTCATTGCAGAACCACCAGTGTTTGTGTAGCAACATAAACAGGAAGCCACTGTTATAATGTTCAATTGTACTACTGTGGAGTGTGTGTGTGTGTGTGTGGGTGTGTGGGTGGGGGGAGAAGAACAACAGGGACAAGTATGAGTTGAAGCAGAGCTCTCACTGGTTACTGCCTCACTTATTAACAGAAGCTGACTGGACATGAATAGATAATTGTCAGCACAGGATGCTGCCTGAGGTTTTCAACAGCATTCTGAGAAAGGAAAAGGCAGATTCACGTTGCTATCAAGCATTGTTAGGACGTCCTCAATGTAGAAAATGAAAGTCAGCTGTCACCCCTGTGCCGACATACCAAATGTCTTGGCAAAGGCACAGCAGAAAGATCCTCACATAATTTGCGCTGCTTCTGAAAGGACCCACATCACTGCAAGGCATTCTCTGCGCTTCCACACCAGAGTTGGACTAACGTCAAGCACAGAAATGTCACAACCAAAAATAGAAAGGGAACTATTGGCTTACGCTATTCCTTAGGCATTGCTTCTCAACCCATGTCAAACAAATCTATGCTCAGGGAGCGCAGGTACACCTTCACACCTGCAGCATTCTGCAAAGCCAACATGCTTCCAAGCACTCTACATGGACTGCACTGAGCCGCCAGAGTAAGGAGATGGGTTTCTCTGCCAAATGCCATACAGCACCACTTGACTGGAAGGGATTTCCTGCTCCATGCTGGAGTTCATCTCACACAGTAACACTTTTCCAGTCAGGACCAACAGGGTCCACAAGCTCAGGCCCACAAGATTTGCTGACGCTTAAATCGGCAAGTTGCGATTATAGGAGGTAAAGAAAATGCAGAAAAATGAATAATCTATCAAAATTTGATAGATAATTGTATTACTTGCACAGTGTCAGTTACTGATAATTTCTATCAGCAAGTAACACTGGGTGCACATAACCCAATCGCCACAGACAGGTGGTCAGGGAAGGCTCCTCAAAGCATTAACTACCTCATTTTTAAATAGATACCATTCTGTTTAAAGCGCACAGCGTCACTGGCCGAGCAACAAGAGAGCTGAAGCACGTCTTTGTACATTAGGTGTTATATCACCTGACCTGCTGCGTACACGTGTTTCAGACCATACTGGCACCTGCAGAACTGCGGTGTGAAGGAACACCACTGGTATTCTAAGCATCTGTGTTGACCGCATCTTGGATGTGAAGTCTGAAATCACGAATGATCTGCCCACACACATATTATATGGGAAACAATATATACTCTCTTCCTCCCCACTCCAACAACCCTGTTCGGCCGACCCCTGAAAGCAGTGATCTGACTGGCTGTAGGCCAAAGTGAGATGACACAAGTGACCATTTTTCAAGTAAGCTGAGACAGTCAGCAATGAAACATTACAGCCGAGACAGGCTTCTTGTAACCCGTTACCACAAGTACAACATAACAGCCTGGACAGCAATATGCCTCATTTCCTTCCTCTTCCTGCCCCAGACACTGAGGCCAATCACCATCCTCACCACTACTCCGGCAAAGATCAGCCAACACAGTACCATACTGCATTCACTGAGGCATTGTAAGGCCTGACTTCATAAAAATTTTATCTCAGAAGGTAACCAAGAAGCTAATCATTTGCACAGATATGGGCAAGTTATGCTGACCCCATTCTGTGCATAGGCAGGAAATTCACGTCAAACAGCTGTCACACATTCTGCTTACAACAAGAAGTTGCATTTGTATTGTGGGCTTCACACAGGATAGAGTCTCAAAGTGCTGAATGCACTGAGACGATACCTAAAATTTTAAACTCCAAGTTTTATTTCGTCATCTGGATTCCTGTAATGGAAGACGGGACATAAACACCTTTTCCTTTTACTTGTCAAAACATATGGGGCTTGCAGAGCACTGACAACTGAACACTTTAATAACCTGACATTGGAGCTAGTTTCAATTTCCAGCTCCCTGACGTTTCAGCACTTTATATGAATCAATGCCAGTATGTGCTTACACGTGAACTATAACAGAGATGCATTCTCTGCCTCAGCTCCTTCCCAAACTGCCAATACCTAAATATATTTACAGTTCTAATGAGTCACAGAAATTGAACAAGACTAGCTCAAATACACTGAGCATTAACAGGCAGTGTGGGAAGCCAGGGAAGGAAATTAGACCCCAGTTCCTGCACCTGAATAAATTATTCAAGTAAGAGAATGCTGAACAAATAAAGAAATACCCCCAGGAACCCCTGCAGAAGTTACTTGTTCCCAGGAGTTCCTAAGATAATACAACTAGCACCCGGCACGCGCGGTTCCAGCCATTACAGGGTCTGTGTGTTTGTGTAATGTTTAAATGGCGGCTGAGGCAAAAAGAAAATCACCATCATTTGGGTGCTTGCCTCCCAGGAAAGGGTATTGCAATCATCGATTCCAAGCAATCCATCACCACAGGCTATAACAGTCCTGTATTACCCCACAAATGTGTGGAGATTGTCTAAAGGCGAGACAAATGGTGGATTTACTAAAAAAAAGTTATTTAACATTGGATCTTAGAAACTCAGGCGCAAAGATAAACGTGATTTTGTCATCTTTTTTGTGAAGTATTTATCAGGATTGCACTATAGCACAATAATCTAAAATTTACTGTTACTGTATTTATAAATATAAGTTTGTTTTTATCACACTGAATTGACCCAAAGCACATAATACTTGGACGTGTGATATGTAGGCAAACTGAGCAACTGATCCTCAGCAACACACTGTACCACACATACCAATAGATAACAAATTAATCATGTCACAGTAACGTTGGCCAGAACACCAGGAGAACTCCCTGTTCTTGTTCCAAATAGTGCTGTGAGATCTTAAAGTCTCCCCGAGTCACCAGGCGGAACCTCGTTTTAACATTATTGTTTTTGTCAGCAAGCCAAGTTCAGTTTGTCTCTATTATAGTGAAAACCGTGCTCACCCACACATATACAAGTGAAGTCACTACTAAACACAAGATTATTAATCACTTTGATTGAGGGGATCTCCCATTGTGAGCAATTATCCAAGAGACGTGAAAGCATTGCAATGAAAGGGGATTTGTGTTCTTACAATCAAACCTTTAGCACAGACATAGAGTTTCAACTCCAGTGACCAGCACCCACCTGTCCCCTTTGGCGGAGCCTCCTTCTTTTGCTCCTGGCAGCTTGGAAGTAAAGCGAAGTCCCTGGCCTGCCCTCCGCACCCCTCCTCGCTATTCTTCCTTTCCCTCGTTCGCTCTTTGTCTTTGTGCTTTTTCGATTTTTTCTTTGATTTCACATGAGACGTAGCGTTCTGTTCACTTGGCCGTGGCAACTCTGCCGGGAGCGGGCAGCTCGGCCTGTCCGGAGCCTCCTGGCTCTCGCAGTCCCTGCCATTGTGGCTGGAGTCATTGCTGATGTCCGAGAGGAGGTCGTGAGGTCCCCTGATCTCCGCTAACATCGGCAAAGTGGACGTGGAGCTGACCGACTCGGCTGTGGCTGGCGGGACAGATGGAGCCGGGGCTGCTGCTTCCTTCCCATTGGAGGGATTTAACCGGCCGTTTAACGTCGGAGGAACGCGACTCGTCAGAAGAGATATCCGAGGCTTCTTATTGGCCAGGGGATCAATGAAGTCATTGGGCACAGGTCGTTTCTGCAGAGAATACAAACAGTTCTCAGTAGAATCGAACATTTATCCTCAAGGTTTCCAAGTTTCCCCCCATTCTAACCCTAGCCACACACATTCCTTGTCTGTTTATGTTCAGTCGCTGAACTGTCGCACATTTGTATGAAATACTAGTTTGGTGGAACAAAATACAAAATATACACTGGAAAGGTAGACTCCCTCACCTCTAACACGTACAGTGCAGTAAAGCGAGAACAGATTTGTAGGATTCATAGGCAAAATCATACATGTAAAAGGTGAAAATATTCATCGACTCCCTTGATGGCTTAATGGAGAAGACCAGCACTCACTTATACAGACCAAAAGGTTTCTGGTTCAGGCTAAATTAAGCTCATTTCGGCTGTGGCAGCACTTGGACTGAGGGTAATTCATGCGCCATCTGTGAGATGATCTGACTTTGCCCCACTGTTCCAAGCACTCTGGCTGTTGTCAGCAGGTGGCGCTGCTCATACAGTCCCTGTACACACAGCATTAACCCGGACTCAACACAGGACAGAAACAGTCAGAAATCGATCAGATGCAATGCCAACTCCGCAGGTGTCATACCTGTGGTGGCGATGCAGAATTCACGTTGTCCTTTGGACTCGAAGATGGTGTCTCTCCCGAGCCCCCGCTGGTATTGGGTGGTTGGAATAATTTTCTACAGAAAAAGAAATGAACCAGGTCACATCTGCACATTCCACTGGTATCTGTGGCTGACTCGATTGCCAGCATAAGGGTACGCAAACCAAGGAGAGGTTTGTGAACATCTCACTCCAAGCAAAGTGCAAATACGTTTTGTGTGTGTTGTGTTTAGTTTTAGGCCCCATCACGGAAAACCTTCAGGGAAATCAGGGTCACCTCTGGGCTGAGCGGGCTCCAAGGGGATGTCCTTGGGAACGGAATGTCGCAATCAAATTGAACTTCTGGAGCTGTCTGATCACTGAGTTAGTCTGGTCCACAGAACTCTGTCCTCCAAGGCACTGCTGATGTCAGCCTGGAGTCACTGTGTCGAGTGTTAATTCTAAAATTACTGCTCTAATGCAAGGATTATTATTTTAAATTATACAGGCATCACCTCGTACTTAATTTCTTTTAAAGATTTATCTTGAAAAGTCTTTTTAAAGTACTCAATTTTTAAAGGATCTTTTGGATTTGTTTGAGAGGAAGGACAGCATCTGGTTACGGTAGCGCTGGCAGATGTTCCAGCCTCCCTACCATAGAAAAGCACAGGATTTATGGAGGGAGGGTGGGGAGTGTTCTAAAGGAAAGGTGAAGACAGCACACATTGATTAAAACTGGGAAAAGAAAGGTAATGAGGCTGAAGTTGATCTCCCATAGAACAGAGCAACCAAGAAACAGAAACAAGCAGAGAATTTAGAGGGTAAAGAAGAACAAAATGGCAGGGAAAGAACCCGAGATGTCTGGAGCACAAGGCGAAGTTTCACCAAGTAGCCTGGATGCCGTATACTTACGGCAGTAAGTAAACTAGTTTCATACAAGAGCAATCTTTTCAAAAGAGGCGAGAGAGTTGCAGCAAGTAACTCGGCCTCCAGTAAAACCTCCAGAACAGTAAAGCGCTGGGTCAGAACTGGAAAATTCTTCCAAAATTCCATCCTAAAATTTGTTTTTCTTAGTCCGGTTTCTCAGCTTCCACACACGAACGCTAAATACCAGTTCAGTTCCAAGTCTCCCTGCCAGGAAACATCATACACAGAGCTACATTTCGCCTGCCCTCAAATGGTGACACTGAAACCCAGTGTTCATTGCACCAGTAAAAGAAACGCTACCCTGGTCGGCTGGGTTCTGTACTTTACTCAAGATAGCAAACTTTGGAAGTGGTGTTCATTGCAGAGTAGATGATGCAAAGGTCACTAACTGCTTCACTGTGGTAACAGACCAATACCACAGTTTTACAATGCGTCTTCCTATTTTGGTGCATAAAGTCAATTCAAAACAACAAAGGTCAGACAAAATAAATATGCGAGGCACTCTGAGCTGTGCACAGTTCCAGCCAAAGCCATTCGGTGAATACTTGGATGGCCTTGGTGATACTGAGTTTCCAGTCAGATAATTTTTAATGGCTGCCAACTCGCAGGACAGTTAAGGGGTCAGAACCCAAATGGTGAAACCTGATGTGTGGCTTTCTAACGTGTCCAAACTACAGAAAAAGACAGTTTTGTACATTTCCCCACCACCCCAGGAAGCTCAGCTTTGTGTTAATTAATTCACAGATACCCACAACAGTGCACAGTGTGCACACAGCCCTGGTAAAGTAATCCACTGGTATAACCACACTCTGGTCTTTGGAAATAAAAATCAATATTCGGAAGAGAATTTAAATCTGGCAGATGATGAGGCCATTTAATTAATCAAGTTTTTTTTCCTTCCAACAATAATCTATATTGTGATTTATTTAAACTCCATGGGGAGGGGTTGAATGAACGATCAAAGCTGAAAGAGAAGAAAATCTTTCAAATTTCTTGCCGATTGATCCCAACAAAATTTCACGTGAGCAAAAAGCCACCAGACACTCATCTAACGTTCAATCGTGAATACATTCCACAGATGATATTCCAATGAGCAAAACTAGACTGTAACAGTGCCTCAAAGTATTTCATCTATGTTTATTCTTACAATCGTCAATACCTTTGCTAAGTAAGGTATTTATCCAGCTTCTTCTTAAAGTCAGCTGAACCGCACAGAAGCACCCACTGCATATGTAGTTACCCTCCCTGATACTATACCCCTAAAGATCACAGTAGCTTGTGCTGCATTTGCTCGTAGCACCAGATAAACGTCACAGCACCTATGCTGTTTTGGAGAGCTTTATGTGCTTTATTTTAATATACAGGCCGGGTACAGATTGGCTGAAGCCACAGACCGTGTTTACCCAGCTGAACGCATCCTTTCCAGTGTCTATTTTTAGACATGATCACCTCTTAGCCAATTGCAGCTCATGAGAAAATGTGCTCTGAGGTCCAGGAAGCCCAGTGTGGAGAACAGGCAAAAACTGCAAGCTCCAGTAACAGCACTTAACCCTCACATGGCTACAGAAGCACACAGCAAAATAACAGCTCTAACCCATAGCCCTGGAGCTCTTGTAACCGTGCAAAGCTGTGACCTATTCAGCAAATTGAAGGCCGTCACTGGAATCTATTATGCACCGGTATTAATTTTAATCCTTGCAAATGTTAACCCCATTTCTATTGGGGAAAAAAAGGGAATCTTGGGTTTAACTCCAGCCTGTAAACCCTTGTCCTCATTCGCAGCTTTGCAGTGCTCAACTCAGCATCATCACAATAATATTTGGACACCGAAACCAGCACATTCCTTCAGAAAACACTCCAATTCTGCCTGCTGTAATATTTTGGAAAATTATAGAAAAATACAGTCCACATTAGAGCAGGCAGCACACAACAACAACTTGCATTTATATAGCATCCCAGAGTGCTTCCCACACGTTTTAGAAGCTGAAAATCTCTGTACTCGGGAGGTGAACTGCATTCATATTACGCTACTGAAGTGAAAATCGAGTCCGAAACTAGTCTACCATTCTCTCACACTTTGGGAGAAAAGCGTAAATGCACCAAGTCTCCAGAATAAGATGGGAGCGTCCATCATTAACCTTGAATCCTAACTTCAAAAATCAATTTCTCCAGGACAGAAAATATTGCAGACAATTATGCCCGCCCAGCCCCAGCTTATGCAGCACTATGTCGGCAGCCCTATTTTTAGCTCCTATCAGATTTTGCGCAAAGGAAGATGGCTCAATCTGGCAAGAGTGTGTGTGCTGAGCACCAGAACTCGGAGACAAGCAAACTGCAGTTACAGCCATTTAGAGCAAACAGCATTTAAAGACGCTGCCAAGAAGGGTAGCGAGCAATCAGTCTCTGTGGAGTTACAGAAGAGGAAGCAATATAATTGGAATGACTGGGAGGTGGGAGCGGAAAGAAAAAGGATTCAGTGATGGAAATCTTTGCACAAGGATTTGAAGTCTATGAAGATAATATAATCTAGCATTTTGGAAGACCAATGGTTAATCTGGAAAGCAGATTCTAATGCAGAAATATCTATAGCTTTGTTCCATTTATCGACCGGGAAAGTCCCAGCTTCAGGCCTTGGTTTGTGCTGAATTATCAATAGCTGGTACAACTGTAACTGGCCTCAGTCATTCCAGGTTTCCAGCTGAGGTTTTTTTCAAGGAGGTTATAGGGTACTAGAGATCTACAATCTATGGAGCTATCATTGCCTCTAAGGCGCAAAAATGAGCAAAGAGCTTCTAGTAATGTTTTCATTTTGAATATCGATCTCACAAAATCTTTGCTGTCCTACAATTGGAGGTGAATTCACGTACCTTACAAGGACCCGCTTCAGTAACCGCTGGTCCTCTTCAGAGTAACCAGGCCAGTCTCTCTGAATTTCTTTGTACACAAAGTCCTTCGGCGTAAAGGTACCATCCTTGCTGTTCATGTTAGCTACCTGCAACACATCCAGAAAAAAAAAGCTCAAACAAAGCATGACAAAAGGCTTTGGTTCATCTACTGACCCTGGGTTGGGATTTTTTTTGAAGCAGGAAATGGCCACAGCTTCTGCTGGTTTTTGATCCTAATGAATTATTTTACATTGGTGAAATGTTAGGAGTTTAGAATCTGAACTAAGGAACCCCTGATGCCACACAAGGAAGGTGGGGGGAGAGAGAGATGGGGAGATTTGAAGGTGAAGCAGTGAAGCACAGGCTGGGCGTCGTTTTAAACAAATTGTGGTTTCTATATCTGGAACAATTGTCACCACCATTGCTTGGCATGACACTGCACAACTGAAATCCCCCACTGATTTACAGCTACCATCAGAAACAGTCACTAATATGCCTGATACAAGATGAGGGCATGCAGTCAGTGTTGCACAGATAGAGTCCAGCTGACTTGGTTTCCTCATGAAGCGCCAACAATGTGAAGTGAAAGTCAGGCGAGTTAAAGGACAATCAATAGAAACCAATGGGATCTGGAAAGTAGTAGTGCTGGAATGTGGCAGAGTTTTGCGGCAATACATTAGCAGGTCAGGACAGTTGCTGAGTAAACCATTTTCACTATTAGAATAGCTGTTAAAAGCATTCTGTGTGGTTTTCTTTCAAATTCAAATGCAGTACAGGAACAGTCAGCAGAGTATTCTGCCTTTTATTTGACAGGCGTAGTTATCCAGAGCTTCATTATAAGGGGGAGATATTTTGCAAATTAACACAAGCTGGTGTTTTTCAACTGTCTTTTGTATGTGAATGTGAGCATTAGGAGACAAAACATGAATTGTGTGGGAAGCTCTCCCCAAACTATTTCTACATCTAACAATGATGCAGTTTATTTAACTTCCTCACAAGTACTGTATTACAGGTCACCTAATTTACATTGTTTAGATAACATGTACAAATTCAAATCTGTAGTACAAAACTTGGTGGGGCAGGGTTTGTATACCTGTTGTACAGTATAAAGCAGTTCTACCCTTTGTCACACCTTGTATGAGCATCGTCTCCAGAATTACAGTCCCTCTTGAACTGATCACTTCTAAAGGAATATTTTAGACCTGAATTTAGCCAAGAGACCAGGTCAACTACTTGCACAAATGAAGAACCCTCAATGAATTCTCGAGAGCAGGAGAAGACAGTTCGCTCAGATGCTGCAGAGTACCTTCAGCTCTAGCCTGAAGAGTTTAACTTTACAAATTATATTTCACCAGTTTTCAACCAATTCAGCAAATTAGCTGCTGTGATCCTGGAACCAGGGTTACTTACTCAATGGCTGCAGTCTCTATACTGCAGTGAAGCCAGGGCTCAGACCTGTGGTAGAGATTCAGTCATAAAACCTCTATTTATTATTGCACTAATAATGATTCAATGCTTGTAAACAAACTCCTGCCATCAACAGGTTTCCTTTATGTTGCCATGAGGATTGCACCGATGGGAGATACACTTTGCTTATTTTATTGTGTAGTTTGTCGCAGTCAACGATGATAATACACTACCTGTTGCAGGAGGTTTTCCAGCGAGTCCTTATCCTGTTGACTGACTCCATCCTTTTGCAACCGAAGAATTAATTCTGGTTTCTTGTAAGGCTTCAGAGCCAGTAAGTGGATGACACGGTCTCGGAAGGGCCTCTGGGAAATGCTGTTGTTGACGCATTTCTTCATTGCGTTTGCCAGGTTAACTGGGATCGGCCGTCTCCTTTGGGGAGCAGTGTCTGAGACCCCAGGGGCCGGTTTGCGGAGCTGAAACTTTTTAACTGGGACTAAAGAGAAACAGCAAATTAAAGTCAAACCTGCTGAACAAGCAATGAATCTCACTCGCACAAACATCAATCAAGTTATTTCAAACTGACTGGTGTTGAACATAACATTCTAGGACTTGTTGAGGAGTACAGCTGTTAAAATGCCATATGCAATCCTTACGATACTGTTCCCCCGCCTTAGGATGCTGTTTTGGGGAGGAGAGAAAAGAGAAGCGAATAAAGAATAAGGAGGACATTCTCACCCTATGCTGAATGCAATCTCTCCCCCCACCCCAAAGTTGATCAGTCCTAGATGAGTGACCATGTCCTTAGGCTAATTGAGGGAAGGAAGAAATGGGGAGCGGGAAAGAGAAAAAGAGAAGATAAATATACTGACTGGTAAGAATTAGTTGGGGGGGGGGGCAGATGAAATTAAAACAAAAGAGGTTGACTATTCGGGTCTCTCACTTCGGTTGGTAAAGCCTGGCGTGAAATTGAGCCATATAAACTCTTTCAGGAGGCAGGAAGCAAATACAAAAAGCAAACCCTCTCTTTTCAGGATTTAAATCTAGTCCGGGAGAGGGGGATTTGAAAGAGTCAGTTAGAAAAAGAGGGTTAATTTTACCAGCAAGAGAAAAGATTGGAGAAATCATTGATCATTTAAGTTTGCAATCTCACAGGTTGAGTCTTAGTGGTGCTTCAACAACAACAAATTGCATTTGTATAGCGCCTTTCACGTCGGGAGGACGTCCTAAGGCACTTCAAGCACATTCATGCGATTTGTCACCCAGTCATGGTGATCATCATAGCAAACAGCAGGATGTTTCGATGGCCGGTTTGAACTTCTCCTAATTGCTTGACCTGTGTGAAAATTTGACCTCAGATGTTGGAGGTGCAAAGTTATTCCTCAAGAGTACAACTTGTGGCTTTCTCCTGCAACCATCTTCTCAGTTTCTCTTACATTGCCTTTTCACTTTACTTTTTCATATTTATTTAGTTACATTGATTCATTCCCTTCATTATTTCACACCTTCCTTCCTTTCATTTTTTTCCAGAAAACTTCACAACCTCTCATTACAGTAAAAAGAACGATTTGACATTTTGGGTTCAATTGCTGAATATTAATTAAACGCAGCTGAAATTCTAGAGATCTCCTCACATCTGGGTTTCCCACACTGGGAAATGTATACATTCCACGTTTAATGCTGGCAAGATCATTTATAGATATTATTAAACAATGCCTCTCAGCTGATCCATGGTATCCAATGTGAACCACCACTATTGGTCACTATCTAACATTTCCCACTTAAGCCAATTATCCAATGAACTACTGCCTCCTTCATGTCAAAAAGCTTTCACGTTCCCTACAAATCTCACGCGAGGTACCTTATTCCATGCCCTCTAAAAGTATTAAATATTGAACATTCATCATATATATATAGATATATTCTTAAAGGATTGCAACTAATCATGCATAACCTACTTTTTCTAAATCTACCTTGTCTGCATTGCTACTGAATTGTTTCCATTTAAAACACTCTCAAAACTTTTGTTTTCCTGCTGCAGATAATTCTTTTAATTCCTAGGTTTATACTTCCAGCTTTTGTATTAAAAAAATGAGAACATTATCTATTTTCGAGGTTTCTGGGGCTGTCCTGGCTTTAATCAGCTCAGCTGCAAAAAATTTTAGCTACCGCTCCCTGTATTTCTGCCCTCATTTCCTTAAGTATTCTTGGATGTATTCCATCTGGTTCAGATTATTTATGAATATTCAAGGTGTCCAATATTTGCAGTGGCAAGCTCACTCAATCTCATTTTCTATGGAATGAAGCATCACCACCTCTTTACTACCTGAAGGGAAATATTGACTGTTTTTTTACTGAATTCAAGGATTGTTTACATTGCAATTAAACTGGACTACATAAGAGTGACTTGACAATTACTAGCAACTCTGAAAGTGTTAGATGCAGATATTAGAAATTCCCCGAGAGGAAAAATAAGACCCTCTTCCTGAATCCAATTCTCTTACCATCTCAAACTCCTTCCAATATTTTTTTGCCACCTATCACACCATTTGCACCGCAATCAGCTAAAATACAGTACAATTTACATTTGTCTAGCACCTTTCACATCGAGAGCACTTCGCAAAGCATTAAAACTACATTATGTCCGCCTGCACAACAATGTACTTAAGGCTAACTTAATTTTCCTCCATCTGCTTCCCTTGTAAGCGTTGCATGTGTTTAAGGAGAAAGTGTTACAGCAGTCTAACACTACCGTACAAAAATAAAATAATTTTTTGAACTGGTGTGAGGAATAACGAGATGAACAAACCATTTTTCAGTAGGTGTGCTGTTGTGGGGGATGCAGTGTTGAGCGTCTGTGGTGTGAAGAGGGGGAAATGCAATACAAAATTGCAGCTTAATTATCATGTGTAACAGACTGTCACAACGTGCCTTCCAAATGTCACTCAACATTGAGCCAAATTCATTAACAGTGAGAAAAGAACATTTTGTGCCATTTTCTGTGTTTTTGTAAACAAGACAAATATACAGCACACAGAACCGCATATGTAGGAAGGTGCGAAACAGGTTCAACAGTCTGGAAAAGGCTGGGGAAAAGGGGGAAATTACAGGAAGTTAGACTAAGCGTCCTTCCTGCAAGCCTAGTCGTGGACAGGCACTAGTTCTACTTGAACAAGTCAATCCCGCAGTCTTTTTACACTGAGATTAAATTAATGAAGCCAGTATGGGCAGCTTTCAAACTGTGCATTGATTCAATCCTCTGGAAGATGTAATGAGTGGTTTAGATTTAAAAATTACATTTAGTGTTGATACTGTGGTGGGTGTTACAGTAAATGCCAATCTCCATCTGAGAATAGATTCACTCTGGTTCAATCCATTAACAGCTGTAATTGAATATCCTACATTAAAAGATAGAGAAAGGTATTGCAATAAATATCAGATATCACTAACATGGCTGTTTGTGTACAAATTGGTTAGTTGCCATGCTTCCTCACAAAATAGATAGTCAATCCACTTTACAGTATATCCTGTGAGATGTCCTCCCGAAATGAAAGGTGCCATATCAAATGTAAGGTTTATAGGTGTAAACACAGAATTTCAGAAGTAAAACGTCCCAAATTAAATACTGCCCGGACTGGGTTTCTTTTTGAACTCGTGTGAGGAATAAGCTTTCTTTCCTCAAAGCGTGATTTCAAGTAGCATTTTGTAAAAGTTAAATGAATTATTAAAGACTATTATGGTATCACTTAGCAAAATGACCCAATAATTTAGTTTTTTTTTAAAGCTTTCAATACCAAACAGGGAAATATTTAATGCTGGACAGACACATTTTAGTAAAAGAAGAATGAGAAGCCAGGAGACCCTGGTTTTAAAAGGGAGCAAAGTCATTAGTGGAGGAGTTAATCAGTACAGATGGATAACCAATTGCAGGTCTTCTATAATGACCATCTGACTTCAATTCAGCGACCTCACAATCTTAAACTCACTAAATCAATGATCGAGGAGGTCAGCAGCCCTTAGCTTCCATTACTTTTTGAACCAAAAAACTGAAATAAAGGCATGAAATTAATCATTCCTCGTTTTTTGTTTAAAGGGCTATATCCTGGTGACATATTCCTTCTTCAAAGGAAGTCGCTACTTATTGCATAGGGACCCCGTTATCTAATTTCCAGCACCAATGACTTTTAGCATTAAATCTGAAGAGGAAAAAGTAGTTTCAAAGCAGATCTTTATCACTAACTGGGTGGGAGCAGCCATTCATTGCTCTGCAGCCTTTGTCCCCTGATATCCCCAGGGTCCCAGTTTGCTGCAGTTAATGCCTCTTTTATATCAGGTCTCTAGCTGCACTGGGAGGACGCTAATGCCTTGAACAATACAGCCCCATCCTTTATATTTACAATTCCTTGTGTTTCCAGGTACTGTTTGGTCGTCTGATACCCACACGAGACCCAATAACACCACAGCTACTGCACACGTACAGTAACAGAAGCACGGCACTGCACCTAAATCATCAGACGTCTTCACTACCTGTTCTGCTATTACTGAGGTTGTGGTGACTGAAAGAAAAACAATCTCAAAGGACATCGCTTCAGCATGCAGTTTTACAGAACAAGACAATTGCTGCTGCTGTCCTTCTAGTCATGGGGAGTGGAAGACTGAACCAAGCATCACGGCTCAACCGTTTAAAATCAGACTGATACGTTTTCATTGCGGGTCTGCTGTCACCAACAGATCCATTGCATAAATCAGGCAGAAAGTGCACTTATGTAGAGATGCCACAGGCACAGTTCTCATTATCTCTTCCTCCCCCAATCATTAAGTAGAGGAGAAATCCGCTCTGTGTTAATAAATATTCCAGTGAAAAAGAATTTGGTTTCACACTAACAACTCCTAGATTTCCCAGTAACTTCAGCCAGCAATAAGCTTAGTGAAGTGATAAAAGACTACTAATGGTGTCTCTATAGAGTTAGCACTGACATCTGCACTCAGAAAATGGAAACCACCCTCTCTGAAACTGATTTTTCTTGTGTAAATGTAATGATGAAACAGAATTAATGCTGCAAGCTAGATATTGGAGAACTCCACGTTATTCTGGGAATCTGTAATTTCGCTTTATTAAAAGACTGTTCCCTGCAGCTAACTCAAATAACAAGTCAGCTGTCAATTCATAATGTACTGAAATAAAAGACGATGGTTTTAATGCCGTGTAAACTATGTCTAACAGTGGTGGAAGCTGGAGCAGCGGTCAATAAAGTCAGTGATAGTAATGGGAGTTAACAGAAATGCGTAATGTCCATTTTAAGTGAATGTACTGTATAAGATTGAGAGATTGAAAATGGAAAGGGAGGACAAATAGAGTTACATGCGGTCAAGGGCTAATTGCATCACTAAACAAGAGATTGTGTAACTAAAACACACAAAGTCTGCCTATTTTGGTGGATTTAAAGATCAAGTGACGCTATTCAAAGAGAAGAGTTTCTAACATAGAGTTCCTGTGCTGTCCATCGATCATCCAGAAAATTTGGGTCGCTCGTTTCATGGCTGGTTGTGAGACCCTTGCTGAGTGCAAATTGGCTGCTGTATTTGCCTACAAATACAGTCACTTACTTGATAAGTATCTGTGAAGCGCTTTGAAATATTTTGACGTTATATCAAATGCGAAGATAACGAGCTCCAAGATTCGTGCATATAGAAAAAAAAATTGCACAGGGAACCACCAGCCCCACTCGCTTTGTAGTCAGTCTTTGGAAAATAATGAGCACTATTCTCTCAGGTAGTATCTGTTTAAATATTCCTTGTGTGTGTGTCGGATTATACTGGCAAGTTTTACTCGTCCAGACAGTGTATATAATAGGATTGTACACGGATCATCAGTAAATGTCCTGGGAACAATAGGCTGCCATGACTCTAATCTTGAGTGCTCTCCAAATGTGAAACCTAAGTTATTCCTCCTCAAACCTATCATCATGTCTGTGATTCAAGAGAATAAAGGAAGTAAGATGTGAAGACCTCATCTTCATTACACAGTCTCAAGAGTGGGGGATCAGGTCAGAACCGATGATCTATGAATCCGAGATATTTTAATACAGGAGTCCATTGTGCCTGCCCTGTGCTAGCTCCCCACTGGAATGACCAACTCAAATCCCATACATATGCCATTTCAGATATTTTAGTACAACAGGCCATTCACTGACTGGTCCAATAATGGTGCTAAAAGTCTAGACCCACAGCTTTCTCACCTCCACACCTTCCTGGTTTAATAACGATGGTTCCACGGCTGCGGGTTTCCTCCTCCGCTTGTGTCATGCGCTCTCTCGTCATTTGATACGAGTCGTCGGTAGCGCACACAGTGATTTTATCCTGTATGCCTCCAAGACAGTCCAGCTGCACACTCCCAGATCTAGTGCGGAAATTTAAAAAAATGCACATTTAACAAGAACCTACCCATAGGAATTCAAAGCACAGAAGGCCATTTGGGCTATTGTTTCAACCCTCAATGTGCAGGTTAAGAGCCACTAAACACCAGAGTAGACACCTTAAAATATACCTCAATGCTGAATATGAAGACTTAGCAGCAACACACAGCTACTATCCTTTGAGAATCTAAATGAAGGATGCCAGGCATACAGTGTATGTTAATCCAAAACATCCTATGGCCAGATAGGAATTAAAATATACACGCTCCATCAATCACTACCCCAAAGTAACTGAACAGTAGCAGATCATTATGCTCCTTCATACATTTGGAAAAGTGTGTAATTAATGCCTAGGAGTGTGGTAGAGCATTGTAACACATTAGAACACAGAACTATGTGATTACCATTGAAGTTATATGAACTTCAAATTGACCTTAAATAGCAGGTCTGTCAAGTCTGGCTTGTTTCCAGTGATGCCATCAGAAACACGTAGCCTTGTTTGGCCTGCCAATGTCTAATAGGAGACTTCCAGTTCTATTTACCAGGATAGATTTGTAACCTACGTCATTTGTTCTCAGAGTAAGAAAAACACCCTTCCCATTTCCAATTGACTGACATCTATTTGTGTCTGAAACCAGGAAGCATCATACCTTGGGTGTCAATTATGTAATGAATAAAAGATTGCTCTGAGATGTGTAAACACATCAGCATTTGGAAGAGCTCACATCGGTGGGTGGTGGGACGGTTGGGGTTAGAAGTAGGAAGAGCTCGAGAGGTTTGTACAGCCTGAGAACAGTTTGGAGATTGTCCTGATCTTTATATCTGAGGTCTTGCCACAGTTAGTTATGCAAGTGTATAAATGGCAGACAACAGACTCCAATCCCCATCGCAATCTCTAAAATCACATAAAAAGGATGGCTTGAGGGACAACCCCTTCTCCTGGGGAAGATTCTACCAACGCACAAGTTTAAATACCAAGCAACTGGTGGGATGCACCATACATTGACAATTTCAAGTGTGGTTTCCACCATGTCATTAAGTGGTTAACACTGCTAGTTCACGGAAGAGGGTTCTGTTCACTTAATGAAAACAATTCAATCCTGGTAACTTGCAGCACAGCACGTGTGGTTGGTGCTGGAACAGCACAAAACAGCAATGAGGGTAGAACAGCATTCCAACTGATTAGATAACAAAGCTTTAACAGCTAAGGTAAACAGATACCTTACACTTCAGGTCCCACCTGCCACCAGCCTTATGGACACAGTTTCCACATTAAAAGCCCGTTTCCATGGTCACTAATACAGGCTATTTTCTCCTTTCGTCAATTTTATCCCTCCCCACCTGAGGGCATTTCACTCCGTTTCACGTCTCCCTTGCTCTCCCCCTCCCCCAAAGCTCAGGCTTCTAATCACTTGTGTGAAGTGTATTGAGACGCCCTCCCGATGTGAAAGGAACTAGATAAATATAAATTGTTGCACTTTAGGGACTGTTCCATGAGTGCCAAGCGCACACCGTCACCTCGCTCAAGCGGCCATTATTTCCCGCATGAACCATAGCAGAAAATGTTAAGACTGTACACCTGCCTATATTGCCCTCATCTACCATTCTTAATGAACTGTGCATGTACTTGATATCCCCGCCATCATTCCCTCTGATTCTAGTGTTAAGGTTGAGATAGTTCCTCTCACCAACAAAGGGATAAAGGGGGCTGCTAGAGCACAGTTCAGTGTTCACTCTCTAATGCATTAAGCACTGTGGGCCAATGTACAGAGAATGTCCCTCCACTATCCCTCAGGATCCCAAACGTTCTATTGCAGTATATTTTTACTGAGTTTTATTAAAAAAAAGAATCTCCACACAGGGCTCTGTGCCAAAGTGCACAAGAGAGAACTGTGATTCACTGACTCCAAATTTCGGCTGCCTTTTGACCTTGCCAGATGGCACAGCAGGAGTCAGAGCTCACTGTAAGGCTATGCATGGCTGTAAACCCACATCTTATAACATAGTGGTGCAATGTGCTGCTACAATGGATTCCCCAAGTCGCCCCTATGTAGTTTGATCTGCTCTTCCTCCCTTCCGCGCCCCCCCCCCTCCCCCCCAATTAGTGAACACAGCAATGTGAAGCATTGCTAAATGACTTGATCGCAAAGGCGACCCAGCACAAAGCATGCGTGTACCCCAGGCTCAACAAAGCACAAGATAGGGACATTGTGGCCACAGTTTGGGGCACAGACAAGGCACCTCACTTACCGGGATTGATATTGCTGAACACAGTCGAAGCTGCACTGGGGTTTATCCCTGCCGTCATTGGTAAACGTGAAGGTCCGCACCTCATTCGGGCAATCTGGCCTTGGGATGGTGATTCGCTGTTGTAGGGGATGGGGGGGGAAGAGAAGAAAAAGAATTGAGAAAACACTTCGAAACCCAGCAAAAATTTACCTTGTATGTGTTCAACTAATCATGTAAACTAGGGGGCTGAGCATGTATCAGAAACAAATCCAAGAGTGATATGAAATATTACAAAATATCCCGAGTGATACTGGCAGCTAAGTAAACCACGATGAGCCAACACATCACATCACATTGTTTTATGGGATTGGTTCTCCCTTCTCTCCTGAACGTACTGACATTTGTTCTACCCGGTGTTAATATTCATGAGGGAGCCCAGACACAAAGTGACAACAGAAGCTCCTTGAAGACTCACTTCAGTCAAAGAGCTTGTTCTATTTCTGCCAAAGTATGTTTGTTGGTGGCACAGGACGCGTGTGATCAAAGGCTGAGATAATGAAATTAGAAAACTCAAATTCGAATAAACATGAGGGGGAAAAAAAAACATTCAATCAAACTTCATTTTATGGAATGGTAGTGTCAGTTTGTGTTGAGTTTCTGACATTGAGCACTACACTGAGTGACAATGTGTAACTGGTGCGCTCTCCCATTCAAGCCACAATTTGCAAGTCTGTAAAACAATCCATTCTTCTGAAAGCCAAGTAGCAAAACAATATCTTCCTCTTAACAATTCACACTTGCACCATCAATGGCATTCTAGACAATGCAACTGGGTAAAAGGTCTTGTAAAGACAGCTTTGCAGAAGAAAAAAAGTCCATGTGAAATAAGACCATTTGCATATAGTGGCAAATTGGAGCTGAACCACGTTATAAAAATCAAATCTCTGTTGTTCTAAAAATATGGCAGATTTTGCATTTTACATTCTTGAAATGCAAAGCTTCAGCTTCTAAGTGTGTCAGCGTGGCTCAGCGGCAGAACTCTGGCCCTTGAGTTGGAAGGTTGAAAGTTCAAGCTCCACATTGATGACTTGAAGCTCACTGTCTTACGCTGACACTCTTGTGCAGTGTTGAAGGAAACCTGCATTGTCCGAGACCTGCCATCCTTCATATGAAACACTAACCGAGATCCTGTCTATCTGCTGAAGTGGACCTTAAAGAACCCATGCCATTGTTTGAAAAGAAAAGGGGAATTTCTTCCAGTGTCCTGGCCAACAGTCCTCCAAAACAATTGGCCATTCACTTCCTGGCTGTTTGTGGGAACTTCCTGCGTGCAAATTGGCTGCTGCATTCGGCTAAAAATAGTTACATTTAATTACTCTAAAATGATTTATGATGTTCTGACATTATAGACATGATCTCAAATTCAAGGATTCCTCTTTGTTATTCACAATTGAAGCGCCAGTGGAGAATTGCCTACTCCCATCCATCAATTTTTCAAATGGTTTAACATGTTGCTTTTGATTTTCACCCAAGTTTTATAACAAGTGGCGAAAGAAAACGTGTGTGTGGTAATGTCTGTGACAGAGTGACATCTCTCCTTCCTGCTGGTGAATCCATCCTGACACATTAGCATCTTTATCAATAGGAGGTGATACATCCCAATTCAGAGAATAAATAAAATACCAGACAAGTAAACATTTAGCAGCTAAGAGTGATAAGGAAACAAAAGGGATAAACCTTTTGACCACTGAGCTCATCAGTTCGCTCTCAACAGGAACCTGATTGCATATAAACAGGTCGATCCCTTGAGCAAAGCAGCTCTAAAGAGGTGGCAGAAATCTAGGCTCACACTTGACCGATGTGCAAAAATTCTGAAGGACTCGATGAATAACACCTACATTGTTTGGTTGTGAGGACTTCCTTTAAAGGTTGCTTCCCCAAAGCCTTTTCACAAACCAACAGTTGCAGAATTTAATAAAATGGTTCCAAAAATCAGTTCCTCATGAATTCCACAGGATTATCAACTACATACATCAAATCCATTCTCTGGCACGGAGACTCATGGGATAATGTTCCTTTAAGAGTGCCTGGAGTTCCTCAGCCTGGGACACATTTTCGTTCTTTCTCTCCCTACTCGCTCTCTCTCCCCCTCTGCTTCCCCCCCCACCCAATCCCCAACTGACAAGAGGAATAAAGTTCTAAGCACTTCAAATCAGAGAAACAGAGAGGAAGAAGGACTAGGAAGTGGGGGATCAATTCCACAGAAAGGCAGACCGTATCTAGGTAAATGCTAGGTAATCTAACTTCCTTTCCGAGTCATTTATCTTCCACATTTATCAGGGTTACACATCTGTACTGGCAAAGAGTAGAGTTGTGTAATTCTGTGAGCTGATCACAAGGCCTATCTTCAAGACCAATGCGCCAAAGCATGTATCTTCTGCAGAAGATGGATCAAAACAGTAATGTTTACTGAATGGACAGATACCGTTCCATCTGGATGCCTTTATAGATACAATCCAAGGCAATATTGACCCCTGAGGTGGCCGCAACCCAAGTAGATGAGATTTACTTTGCTTGACAGATCCTGACCGGTAATTTGTATTGTACCAAATATATTTTATTGCCCCATATTCAATTGGTTGCTAGGAAACGGGGTTGAAGTTTTATTGCTGAATGAAATAATTGTGTGGAATGACGCACATCCTTACCCTATCAAGGTATTATACTATCAAGGCTGCTTCTGTGCTGTGAAACCTACCTCCAATACAATGGTGAGGAACATTAGGAATACTGACATTTACAAATTATTTTGTGTGAAAAAAATCCGAACCTGATCTAAATGTGATTTTACTTAGACCACAAGGGATCTACCAACAGGGCTTTGAGCTAGAAGCGCTAAAAGGAATTTGAGGTTCCACAATTAGAGTCTCATATTGAACACCATTAGTGTCTATCAATAACCAATGAAGGTTCACGTAAAGACTTAAGTAATTGTTACAACCAGAGTAGTCACAACATTATAATCTAATGGGTTAAAGTTAAAGCTGTCAATTGGTTGTTCTGGGAATAGCTATCCAAATTTCTCACCCCGTTAGTGATGGAGGAACAGATCCTTGGGAAAAGAGCTAAAGGCTGAATGAAACTCAAACTGTTTAGAGATATGAGTGCTAGCCTTCCTCAGCTGGTATAAGGTTACTGAAATTCTTACGAGGGTCATGATTCTTGGCAATGATTGGGCTGGTGAGGGAAGTGAACATTTGGCACATTGGGAGTGGAAAGGAGAAGAAATTATATTTGGTTCAGGAAGCCCCCCCCCGCAGACTGTAGCTCACTTAAACTTTAGAAATACTGTAAACATTTAGTTAAAGGTCAAAATGACGCACACAGAAAGTTACTGACTTCCAGAAAGTAAACCTGTTCCAAACCCTGGTAAATACAGAAACAGTCTGGGATTATCACAATCCCATTCCTGGCACTGCACGTTTGCTCTTTGAACAACTCTTTTTTCCCAGAAGGTGCAGGAATGGGGGGATGGGAGAAAAGGTGCTTTCTGTGCCAGAGCCTTACTGTAAAAGCAGACAAATTTCTTTTGACACACTTCCCAGATTCTACCAGTAACTCTGCACTACCACGTCATGGCCCACAGACCTCTTAACCCTTTCAAGCCTGTGCCAAATCAAAACCAAACTACACAACTGGCTCTACTTGAGGGTAATTTTCAAGTTAAAATTAGGAAACATTGCAGGGTGTATGCGAATATATATTTAAAAATAACAGGAGGACATTTGAAGCACATGGTATTAACAAGAGACAATTGGGGCAGTGGTGGTTGGATAGAGTCGCAGCTCACAGACTGGGAACTCACTCGTTCGAATCTCATTCCATGCAGTTTGTCAGCCAAGACTGCATGAGGAAGCTAAACTAGCCTTGGCTGCCCAGAGGTAGGGAGCGAAAAGCTATCCAGGTTCCTGCTCTCATCCTTCAGCACACACTTCGGGTACATGTATGTGGCAGCGGTAAGGAGAGGTCAGATTTGGCTGCAATACTCTATGCAGTTGAGTGGCCTGCCAGCACTCGCTGCCGAAGCACCCACTGAACGGCATCCCAGCACAAAGAGACCATTAGATAAAACACAATTTTATTTAATAGCGCCTTTCACAACAGGATACACAGAGAGAGAAAAAACCCACATATACACAGAAATCACAAATATGGCAAGAAGGGTTAAGGTAGGGCTGGGATCAAAAACCAACACACGTTGAACAAAACTGTTCCCAATACTGTTTGTTTTGTCCTCGTGTTCCAAGTCTACAGAATGGACTGCATAGCTAAAGGTAGCTACTATAGAACTGAGGTAACTTGAGGGGGTAATAGACTGTAATGAATGCTTCATTACATCAATATATTGGATTACAAACTCATTTCCTTCGTTTTATTGCCTTTGGGGATTGGCGATTATTTATGCAGGATGTTCCCTCAGGAAATGATAGTTCCAGATAAGTTACATTATACATGGACTGAAGAAAGAACGGGATGGTGGGACAGGCACTTACCCATTTCACACCCCTTTTTGTAAATAAATTGATTCCTTTAAACATCAGGGACGAAAGACACAAAAAAAAAGGGTTAAAGAAATGGAGCTGAAGAAATTCTAGGAATTGAAGGTATGTTCCACAGGCATGTTTTTTTGGCAGCAAGGGAGGAAAAGAAAGAAGAGAAAATCAGAATATCTTTAAGAGTCAAAAATATTTACAGTCAATTCACTTTAGTGTATTCTGTGAAGCGCTTTGAGATGTCTTAATGACATAAGGCGCTATATCAAATGCAAGGATTATTATCATTTACGAAGAATATTAAAAGATGGGGAATCAGTAAGAGTGGCATTACTTAACTCATGGGGTGAGAAACACCAGCGTAGATTTCATTACAAATCACTTTAGAATTATTCACTTAACAGTTTGATAGGATTTTACAAATACGTTGCTGCAGATGCTTCAAGATTCATAGGTGTGTGCGAGGTTTAAAAAAATGCAAATCACGACTGAGCAGCTCGCATTTCTAGTAATGTGTACAGCTGGGTGCTTGTGGTCAAATAGACTTCTATTGACCCACTGAAATCATGAACTGCCATATCTGC